TGGCATTAATGTTACGCATCGACGCGACGTCCCCGTGATCGACTTATCGATCGGCGTAATAATGCGAGCGAATATCGCATCCGCGAATTTTCCACTCCATAAATTAACATGCGGCAAGGTTCGAAATAGCATTACCTAAAGTGCGTTTCGTATAGATACTTGAAATCCTTTTAATTACACTTATTCTTTTCCTTCTTTCTTATTTATTGTACTAAAAAAAAGTTACAATCAGTGGAATCTAAAAATATAATATAAAATGAATATTTTAATATATATATGTAAGAAATATTTTTTAATATTTTTGGCAATAAATATTTACATAAAAGAATGTGTAAATAATACTCGAGAACTTATATAAAAAAGTTATCAATATAATCATCTTCTTTTTTATTTATTGTACTAAAAAATTACATGGAATCTATAATATCAAATGAAAAATATAATATAAAATGAATATTATAAGAGATATTTTTTAATATTTTTGGCAATAAATATTTACATAAAAGAATGTGTAAATAATACTCGAGAACTTATATAAAAACGTTATCAATATAATCATAGTACTGGGAATAAAAAGCAATTATCTCAAATAAATTCAATCAAACATTTTTAATTAGATATCGTTTAATGTACAAAAAAGATACAAGGGAATAAAAAGGTATATTTAATTCTTCTTCAAATAATCTTACATTTATAATTTTACTTTTTGTTTTTAAATATTAATAAATATATTCTTTAATAAATCTATTCTTCTCTTTTTAACATATCACGTTGAAAGTATCGTAATAACGAACAAGTATTTAGCTGAAAGCGTTATCAATGAATTCGCACGATGAAAAACGAACTTGGCGAAATAATGCCGCGCAGCATGCCGTTCTTATTTAGCAGCGGGTTAATTACCAGCATAGGTATTCGAGCACATTGTACATTGTGAGAAACTCGATTTAAAAGTTTCAATAGCGTGTTTAAAAAAGTTCAGTCGATGCAGCGCTATTTAATAATACCTCGTCGCGGTGGTTCATGGCATATCCGATCGTAAAAAGCTTCTTTGCAATATTCCTTTAATTATTCCGCGATATCAATGGTACATTTCATATACTAATAATTACTTGGTTATCCGCATACTTTACTTTTTTGCTCGCAAAGCGATATAATTGCTAATATTGAGGCAAAAAAAATATATTTAAAAGAGGGCAGATGATTCGTCATCGGAGGAAGGATGCTAATTTTTCGAGAATTAAAATCCTCCTTCTCTCGGATACGAATATCACGAGGAGCATCTTCAAGACATCTTCCCCTTTGGACTCTTCTACAGAATGATTTAACGGAACGATTTAGCCGGCGAGATTGCTTTGCCTACTTGATTAAAATATCGAGGATTACGACCGTGTTTGTGGTAAAAGGGATTTTGCGGAGGCACAGAGAGCCTCTCTGCCAACCGGGGGTAGATCTCTTTGCTTGTAAAGTTTGCAAGGGGTCACGCCAATTAGAATACGACAAGAACGATAAAGTTCATAAGTCGTACATTGACACGCTAACGCAAAAAGGTAATTGGAAAATTGCGAGATCGTATCGCGGGACAAGTTTATAAACGGCATTTGTATATGCCTATATCTTTTTGAATCTAATATTATAATCTAATATTCTAATAATTTAAATATTCTGATATAGAATTTAATTTATAATTTAAACATTCTAATATTTAAAATATTCTAATAAAAATAATATAATAATAAAAACTAGAGAGCTGAAATATTCTCTCTACATACATACAAATATATCGATAGAAGTAACAAACGCAAAAGGGAGTTCTGAAAAACAAATTTATAAAAAATTGCAGAAGAATGCAAAATATATTTTTTCATTAAAAAAATGTTTTTATTTTAACACAGAAACGAAAGAAAACAAAATGATTAATCTATACGATTATAGATATACAATCGAGAATGGAGAATAAAGATTTTTATAGAAATTACTCAGAAAACAAAAAATACCTCGACGCAGTCTCTCCTCGAAAACAGTCTTAATGTTGGTTAATGTGCGATTCCGTGCACGTTTATCGTCTTACCGTCCGACGTTTCCTTGACTCTAACAACAAGATCGCTTAATGACCAGGCAAATAGGAGTCCGAAGGAAACACGAATCGCGCGAGGAGCGCCGTGAAAGATCGATTTGTAGAGCTCTCTAGACGATGAGAGAGTGATCAGCAGTAGAATCTCATTTTAGCCTGGGTCAAATTTGATCTCGCGTTACTTGGTATACGTTGAGCGAATCGCAAACTGAATTTCCTCGGTTCGACGATGACCTGTAGCCTGCAGGGTTCCGGATCACGATTTCTGTTTGACCCTTTGAATTCACCAAGTTCGCCACATTGTTGTATATTATCGCGAATTCATCAAAAGATTATGGCATACAGAACTTGCTTTTGTATAATACATTCATATTTAGAATGCTATATTCCAAACTATTAAACAATTATGGCTTAAGCAATATTGACTAAACATCGCGTTAAGATACGCAGAGATAAATTGTACTTTCCATAAGACGAAGATTTGTTCACTTTCAACCTGATTTCAATTTTACGAGAATGTCGTAAACAATGAAATTAATTCTGATCTCCTTTATATATTACGTATCTGTGTAGAAGTTCCTTACTAATAGTATAATTGATTACGCTCAAGTAGAGACGAATTTACTTACGAACTCTCAGAAAATTTGTCACATAAGTAAATTAAGTGGATAAATTTAACAAACACACAAAAATTTGTGTTTACAAACATTTCCTACATTTGAAAATAAACCTAATTGTTTGTAAGCAATTTTTCATAATTTTTTTATTTGTTTGAATTGAATCAAATTAATTAACTTTAGAAACGCGCATTAACTTAAATCTTTTTTACATTATATTTAAAAATAGTAAAATTATTTTTATAAGCGTATTTTAAATATTATGTTGGCAAATCGAGCTTTATTTTATCCATCTGCGAATTTTAATATTTGCTTATATCCGTGTTTCGCTTTTGTATAAACGTTTGCTATATAGGTTTAATAGTTTTTGAAACGTTTTACCAAAAAAAAGTTACACAAACGTTAATTATTAATTTTTATATCAATCTCGGTATATTTGAATCGTACGTCATGTGTAACATTATATTTAAACAAAATCCGAAAAATTTCAATTGTAAAAATCACTAGTGACAACCCACATCGTATCTTTTCTATAATAAATAATTGATACATACTAAAGTCACATCTGAAAACAATTGTTCAACCATACATTTTAATATGAAACTATTCAACATATTTGTTACATCTGATTATCGTACATGGATGGAAACGTGTAAATAAATGAATTCGAAAGACAAGAAAAAATAATTGAGAGCGCAAATTTAAAAGACTACACGGCTGTTTGATTTTAATATGACGTAATAGATATTTCTCCATATATTGATTAATGAACGCTAATGTTAAACCGTAGTGCTCTATGCAAAAGTAAGACTACTCCAGGATAGGAGCGAAAGGATGAGTCATGTAGCGAGAATAACAAGAAGTAGCAATCAAAATTATAAAAAAAATTGGATGATTATATTACGATTATTTCTTTATTGTAAATTATTTTAATCTAAAATATATATTTAAAACAAATCGATGGAACTGAAAAGAATAAAGCCTCTCGAATATCGATTAATCGATAGTACATCGGCCATCTCTGGAGCAGACACGAGCTGATGGGCTCGAGAGGTAGGGTGAGACCGTCACGGGGGTTGAACATATGAGAGAAATACTGAAAGGGGAAAGTTCGAGGTCATCGGAAGCACGAGAATTTCGTGCCGGAAAGGACAGAAGGAAAGAGGGCGGAAGAGTGTTTTCCTTAGAAAATGTACCGAGTCGATTTGAGGCTGTCAATGGAAATCGAAGAAAATATCTTTGGACGTATGTGTATATATGAATGTTATTCTGTCTATGTGTGCGTGTATCAGTTGTGCCGATACACAAAAGCGGAAAGAGTACCTTCGGAGAAAAAGGAACGATGAATCATGAAATGTAAACGAAGAGGGCAAAGAAGCAGAGCTATAGCTCGTAACATGACCGAGCATATCGAAGTCGGTATCATTAGAGAAGAAGATATATGATGTTACAAAATCATCGAGTCATATTGTGCGGGTGTGGGTGCGTTTTAATCGCATAATTATTAAAATCATCTTCCAATTAAAATTCTATTAGATTTGAAATTGTGTAAAGAATATAATTTTCACGCAAATTTTTTTATTGCTCATAAAACGTAATTATATAATAAACTGTATTATATTCAATTACTCGAAGACAAGCGGTCATGAAATACAATCAAAAAATTCATACTATAAATAATATAAATTTATTTTAGTAAATTACACCATTGATAAAATCTATAAATTTTACAAGAATCAACAATCAACGTAAAATTCTAAAATGTCGGTATTAATGATCCATCGGTTGCAAAATTTTTGAAATGTCAATGATTTCCAAGTACATATTTAGAATATTTAAACGCTTGATTTGCATACATTCATCGATTCGGTAATCAGTTTCGGTCAGAACGACAATCACAGACTGACTCTGCAAACGAGCGCAAAGCGCCTTTCACTCTTTTCGTTTTCGAATCAATGAAGCTGAAACAGAGAGTACGAGAGAGCGAGTCAACGAATTCGTGCATATGTGTATGTGTGTATGTGCGAATATGCGTGTATGCGTGTATACATGTGTATAAATGTGTCGACATGCGACAGAGAGAAAAGTAGAGAGTGCACGGGGAGGAGAGCGAAAGGGTGGAAGATGCACGAGATAATGTATGCGTCGAAAGAGAGGAACGAACGCGAGAGGAAGAGACAAGTAAGAGAGAAGGGAGCAAATAAAAGAGAGAAAGAGGAGGAAGGCTCCGGCGGGGGCCGCTCGTCCATGAACGGAGGACACTGATCACATCCCTCTCGGACTGATCGGCTCTCTTCCTTCCTGATTCGCAGGTACGTCTTCACGATAGTCAGCTACTTGATCGGCGTCTTCATATTCGCGACCATCGTCGGCCAGGTTGGCAACGTCATCACCAACAGAAATGCGAACCGCCTCGAATTCGAGAGGCTCTTGGACGGTGCCAAGACTTACATGCGGCATCACAAGGTGCCGGGAGGTATGAAACGCCGGGTGCTCAGGTGGTACGACTACAGCTGGTCACGCGGCAGGATACAGGGCGGCGGTGACATCAACACCGCTCTGGGTTTGCTCCCGGACAAGCTCAAGACCGAGCTGGCGTTGCACGTGAATCTCTCGGTGCTGAAGAAGGTCACCATCTTTCAGGTGAGCCGTTTCCCTCCCGACAGTTTCCCCCGACGAATAAATTCGACTCCTGTGTTTGTCCAAGTCCTCTTGATCCAAGGAAGCGAGCGTTTCCGCCGTTATTCTCATCGAGGCGAACGCATTGAAAATCAATAACGATATTGAAACTCACTTAAAGCGTTTACAGGTAGAATATTGTATAAGATGTTGCGAGAAGATACGGAAGATAAAAATTACGCTACATTACAATGGCCTTTTATTGCTTAGTTGAATTATTCGTGTTATTTGTGACGACAGTAATATACATTTGCGAAGAAAGATCGTATTTGAAAATACGAAGCGATACTTTGTAGTTAAAGCGAGAGCATTATTCATGCGAAGCTTATTTTCAAGATATGCTTTTGTTCCATTACTTTTAATTTAAAATGAGAATGCTTTTATTTCTACCTTGTTATCTAGTTACTAACTTGTTTTACCTAATGATCGGATTTTTATCAACGCTCTTCTTTCCTCTGTGAAAAATTTACATCGACCAGATACTTGTCTTGTCATACAAGAGAACAAAAGCGGAGGAAAAAAGGAAATGAGGAAGATAGAAAAAGGCGCGCGGATCGTAAAAAAATAAAGATAGAATTGGCTCAATAAGACCGTAAAGATACGATCGCTGTGGACGAAATATTTTCTCGATTATGTTCAAAGTTTTATCGACAATGATAAACGGAACAATGAGTGAGGAGAGAAAAAGGTACAAAGACGGAATTCCGATATTTTATTCGAAGGAAAACGCTTCTTGCGTGTCTGGATCTCCATTAAAGGAACGGACGCGCGAATTTTTACAATTGTTCCAAAATATAATTCACATGCATCGTTTGCTTCTATTTTTCAATAAACGATTCTTCGTCAAATCTGCTATATTTTTTCTCGCCAGAAAAATAGAAGAATATAAATTAAAAATTAATAATTTTAATCAATATGAAACAAAGAAAGCTTTACGAGTTATGGAAAAAAAACTGAAAAAAATTATTTCTTGATTTTATCTAACAGATAAAACTAACGAATATTTTTACAATTTTGAAACTATTGGAAGACATGCTAAAATAAAAAATAAAAAGTTTTTTTTTCATGAAATAAATATTTTCATTTCAAACATGAAATGTTCTAATACATTCTCACTCATTTCATTTTTTAGGATAAATAAAAGCAAAGCCGTTCGTTTCATTAGGTTCACATGATCCAATATATTTGTTATAAAATCCAATATATTTGTTATAAAATCAATTTTTAAAAGCAATTTGTGGCGAATAAATAAAATACAGAGCACGGTTTTTTTCTGAAAAATACGATACACGAGGAAGATTATAGACCCGAGCGTACATGAACCTCTCTTAAGGGAGTGACTCTGTTAAAGCCGGACAAATATTTGAGCGAAAACGTTGGCTTGTATACTCTACATCCGAAGGAAAACTTTTGAGGAGAATGCACGGATGAGAGTACTTTTCAAAAACTCGATGGCCATGTTTACGAGCCAGTCCAATTATCGCGAATCTTTTCCGTTTGTATTCATTCCGTTTTCTTTCTTCTGATCTTATGTATTTCAACTCCTTCGAGTGGAATAAAGGGTCTCTTTAAAATTACGTTCGAGAATAATCATAAGACGGTCAATTCGATTTCCAGCGAGACACTTTGTGGATTAAGCACAAGAGTGTCTTTCTCGACGATCAATTTGTCCGCCGATCTCGGGGGGACTTGAATGATTCGAGAACTTTAATGTAAGGGAGATTTATCCGCGTAACAACTTTAGTTCCGCTATTGAACGAGTGGCAGCTTCTGTTGGTAATCGGTAAGCTCGAACGAATCCCTTGTAAACGTAAACACTTTTCCTCCATTTCGAGACCGGAAGCTTATAGTCCGATAAAAACGAGAAGAAAAAGAATGCAGGTGCGGATAAGTGCGCGCAAGAAGTATTTGGAAAGTTCGCCTGAGAGAATCTCTACGAACAGGATATGACGCGGAACTTCGCTACGGTAGATTTCTCTTGATTCGTCAAGCTTTCGCATAGCAAGAATTCTTGCACGCTAGATATAACATTGAAATCATGTAGAACCTTTTCACACATCAGATGAATTTGTTAAAGTTACATTCGCGTAAGAAGATTCCATATTATCTTAAGTATTTCAACATATCATAAAATCGTCATGGCATAAAATCGTCATGAGATCTATATTTTTTATAAAACTCGTGTAAAACGATGACGGAAAGAAAAATGCAAAAGGAACGCGAGATACAGGAGATAGATCTTAAAAAGTTAAGTTGCCGGAAGGTAAATGGAGCGCACGTGATAAACCGATATAAAGAAAAGTGCTGTTGCGGAGGCTTCTCGAGACCTCTTGGCGAGGAAGAAATGGAGAAAAATTACGACAAATCATATATCTTTCATCCGAGAAATTTCAACAACATTCAGAAGTGTGGAAAGTCTACGAAATATCTGATGGTATCTATTGTTAATTAGACAACTTGGTCGAATCTTTTTTCTTCTCTTCTAATCAAAGAGCAAAAGTAATTAAAGTTGTCGAACACGGTCCAGCATCCCTTCAGGAGCTTTCACGATAGATTATCGTGGAAAATAAAATAAAAGAATTTTGTGGCTCTTGCTTCAATTCTCCTGCTTATTTGCAACAGTAAACTTTAATAACGTAACATTATTCATCCATAATTCTTCTCGGGATATTTTCATTAAATTTTTCACATCTTTGAAGAAAAATGCGACGGAGCATTATACATTTCATTTTAAATATTCACATGTATATTCTTTTATTAAATTTTTTATTATATTTTTTAGATAAATTTACAAATTGCAACACAATTAAATTTACATAATTAGACACACTTTATTTACTGTGAAAGCAATTTTTTTTTAAAGATGCGATAACTCGAGACTTTTAACGGAAAACTAAATGAAAGTAGATTAAATTTATTTAAGTTTCGCCTTCCTTGAACTATCAAATATCCCGTGATATTCTTCCTTAAACTCAGTGAACAGGAAATATCTTGAAAGATTTATTGTGTGTGGGCAATGATTAATATTACGATAGTAAATGATTTATCGTATAAATGTACCTCACGTAATTTACGCGCTTAGACTCGGACAAATTCGTTAACGTATTCTGTGATGCAATAATGATGTGATATACATGTGTATGATTTTCTTCTCAATATATCTTACTTATGCGAAACACGCAACATATGCATGCCGCTGCACAAACGTAATTAAATTTAATTGTATCGACGAGACCATTATAACTGAAATTCAATTCACAGATTAACTACATTTGACTAGAAACACATACTCAACGTAAATTTTAATTAGTAAAATGTTAGCGATACGTTTATATATACGTCAAATAACGTTATGACTTATAATTATTCCGTGTCTTGATCAATTTAAATTCGGCTTTTTTCAACGAAGGAAATATTATGTTCACATTCCGTTATTTGTCTCGTTCGATGAGAAAAATTGTCAGATTTTTCTGTCGCATAAAAATTGCGATTTGATTACAAAGTAAGATAGCTCTCCAGTTCTTTAGAAATGAAACTGAGAAAATAAAGTCGTTCAACTGTGAAATGAGAAGCTTTTAAGATACGAGAGTTCTTGCTGTAACGAGCATCTGGGCATCGAAATAACGAGATCGACAAATCTTTTGGACATTTGTCAAAACAATCGATCGATACAGATACAATCGAGTAATTTCATTAATACACGTTATAAAATGTTCATTAATTGCTAAAAATTGAAACAAAGCTGTATTAATCATTCGAGTAATATTCGAGTAATATTCATCAAGTTGAAGAACTTTACACCTTTATTGTCATTTACATTTATTGCGGATTTATTATGAGTTAAAAAACATGTCAAAATATGATACATCATTCTTCATCGACTCACCCTATGAAATATGGAGTTACCTTGCCGCGCAGAAAGTTGGACGATAACAAGGGACGTGAAATGTATAAATCACGCTCTAGCAAATCCAACCTCAACTCTTTCACACATATGTATCAGCGTGTCTCGGCAAGTCCCGACAGATATAATATATCCTTTATATACGCGATGCGCGGAAATCTCATCCCATAGGAATTCCGCATTCGGGGAAATACGTTTAAATCCGCTCAAACGGAAAGATTTGTTTACGTGGATCATGCGAAGTGCATTTTAATAGCACAATTAATTCTCTTTTTATAAAAGAATTTGAAAAATTAATTGAGGAATTTATGATATTCTCTCAATTTTAAGGGATCGTTTCTCGTTAAATTCTAGAAATAAATTATGGGATTATCCTCCAATTTTATTCAAAGTCAACACATAGAAAAAAAGACATTCTTGTTTTGAAAATATATTTAGTTTTAACATGAAAATCTTGAAATGAGATTATATTGCGTTAATTAAAGAAAAATATAATTGCTTACTTGACTGAAGCCATTTTATATCATTTAATCGAGAAAAATATATTCTTATGATTTAAGATTTAATTTTCTTGAATAGAAAAGAAACAATGTTGGAAAATAACATTTTTAAATCAAAGATTATAATTTTCTTAAAGTAGAATTAAATAATTATATATTCTTGAGGTGACAATTACAATATTAAAATAAGACTATAATATTGTTGAAATTTAAAATTATTAACTTTTTCTAAAAAGATTATAAATTGTTGCGTATATACGAAACAATGAACGCATTAGTTTATGTATATAAGTTTTGATTTGACACTTATTTTTTTCTGTGCACAGAAAAAAGAACATTCTTGTTTTGAAAATATATTTAGTTTTAACATGGAAATCTTGAAATGAGATTATATTGCATTAATTAAAGAAAAATATAATTGCTTGAATAATTGCTTACTTGAATGAAGCCATTTTATATAGTTCAAACGAGAAAAATATATTCTTATGATTTAAGATTTAATTTTCTTGAATAAAAAAGGAACAATGTTAGATAGAAAATTACATTTTTAAATTAAAGATTATAATTTTCTTAGAGTTAAATAATAGAGTTAAATAATTATATATTTTTGAGGTGACAATTACAATATTAAAATAAGATTATAATATTGAAATTTAAAATTATTAAATTCTTCTAAGAAGATTATAAATTATTACATATATACGAAATAATGAACGCGTTAGTTTGTGTATATAAATTTTGATTTGACACTTATTTTTTTCTGTGCACAGAAAAAAGGACATTCTTATTTTAAAAATGTATAGTTTTAGGACATTCTTATTTTGAAAATATATAGTTTTAACATAGAAATCTTGAAATGAGATTATATTGCGTTAATTAAAGAAAAATATAATTGCTTGAATAATTGCTTCCTTGAATGAAGCCATTTTATATAGTTCAATCGAGAAAAATATATTCTTATGATTTAAGATTTAATTTTCTTGAATGAAAAAAAAACAATGTTGGATAGAAAATAACATTTTTAAATTAAAGATTATAATTTTCTTGCAGTTGAATTAAATGATTATATATTCTTGAAGTGACAATTACAATATTAAAATAAGGTTATAATATTGTTAAAATTTAAAATTATTAAATTCTTCCAAAAAGATTATAAATTGTTGCGTAAATACGAAACAATGAACGCTTTAGTTTAAGTGTATAAGTTTCGATTTGACACTTATTTTTTTTCTGTGCACGACACAACAAAATCAACCGAAAATGATAGACTTTATTGACACCTTCTAACAATCAATTTCTTTAAGAAACTGATCGCATTACGCGCGTTAATTGTTGATAATTTAGAACTCGGAACATGTCGCGTAACGTCCTTTAGACCCTGAACTTGTTTCCTGTATGCTGCGTATGTCATATAATGTTCGCCAGAATGTTAACACGCTAACCACCATGTCGGCGACCGATGGCTAACACAATGTTGTGTCGCCCACGTTGTGTCAGCCATCGGGCAGGTAACGTATTAAAGCGATACGTCGACAAATTGAATTTCGCAGGCCATAGCCAAAGTGCAGTGACGTAACTATAATAGGTAATTTCGCGCTTGGGCTAAAATACATGAACACACACACACACTTTTCGAAGATTTATATTTAAAAAAATTATTGCAATTTATAATCTTTATAAATTAAATGGTCGACACCCCTAGTAGATGATAAGGCAAGAAAATTTCATTTATTCTATATAATCAGCCTTTAATATATACTTGAAGATAAAATTGAAAATATCATACAAAGTGTCGAATTTTGATTAATTTGAAGATAATTTTTTGAAATTATGTAAAGAGATTTATTAGATGATTTTTTTATACAAATATTACATTCGTGTTGTTATCCGGAATAAATTTGTGTTATGGAGCTGTCAAAGTTCATATTTTAGTTATGCACAGGATTTTCCGGTAACCGCAACGGGTGAGAGAAAAATGTAAAAAGAGATCAGAATCGAAGTTGGTGAAAAAGGAAACTCGCGCTCTGTCTTCGTCATCTCCGCACATCCGAAGAATTTCCATTACGTCGGAATATCGTTTCCCCTCGCTCTTCTTTCTTCCCTTTCCTTCTTTCTTTGCACGGCAAAAGGGAGGTGATGAAAGGAAAAAGAATGGAGAGAAGTAGAAATAAATGACACTGAGATAGAGTTACGCGTGACTGTATCGCGTTTCGAATAAATTTCTCTCAAATATTCTAATACATACAAATCTTATTATAAACATTTCCCAGGTGAACATTGAATGTATTATTTCATAAATTTTTAACATCTAAAAATTATACGTGCGCGCAAATATTTTAGAGGGTTCAAAGATATGGAGTTTTATCGCAACATTTGAAATTTTTATCGCGATGCACCCTCAATTTAGGATATGGCTTTCAATTTTGTTATAAATATTTAAATGATTACTTTCGATTTATTCGATACTCTTACAATTGCAGTGACACAGTACAGAAAGCATCGTTGCAAAGTGCCTCATCCGACTTTGGAGAAATCTTATTTCTAGCGTAGGACAAAGTTTATTTTATTTTTCAACGTTTCTCGATAACTCTGAAAGTAAAGTGAAGCTGCTTATCGCGCATCTTTCACGGGCAGGATCTAAATTACGGTTACGGTTTTCGGGTCGACCGATATTTCGAAAATATCTCTCAAGAGAATAACTGGAACGGTGCAAAATAAACGATGCAGGATGCAGAGGAAGGCGTCGAAAAACGTTTTAATTGAAAATTTAGCTACCTTCTGGCAAAACATCGCGACAAAAATTGTTTCATTTCCAGCTGCATCCGATCTATTTTCTCGTCGAATCCTTTATTCGTCTGGAACAGTCAACTTGCCTTTACAATAGCAGGCTTAGTATTTTATCACGGTAGATCTCTTTCATAACTTTCGAAAGAAATAGACAATATGAGCGATAATATTATACTTTGGAAAAAAACAATTAAAATTCAAAAAAGTATATTTCCAAAAGAAAGTTGAAAAATTTAATAAAATCTATAAAATTAGACACAAGCATTTCTACAGTTTCGAAGAATTTACTTGTCAGAAAACTCACATTTAGATTAAACTAAATTATATTTAAAAAATTTAAATTAAATTATTTAATTTAGAATGCGATGTAAAACATATACGATTTATCTGGTGGTAAAAGTCGTATCTCATTTTCTTCAAATATGTCTTATAGTTTTTTAATTTATGATTACACTCCAAGTTGGCCGAGTTTGATGAAGTACGTGTCATAGATCATTTAACACGGAATCTATCATGAGACAAAAGTGAAAACACGCGATGCTTAACAAGACTTGAACAGAAAAGAGCATTTTCATTCATTGCTTGAAAGTCATTACGAGATTTAAACGGCTAGAATTAAATTAGAAAATGAAGATTCAAAAAGAGAGAGAAAGAGAAAAAGGAAGAAAGAGAAATGCGGAGTTGCAAGTCACGAAAAAGTTTGGCTTCTTGTTAAAGGAAATGACTTCGAGAAATTGTTTCCTAACATTTAATTAATTCCCCAAGATAGTTACGTGATCAACGATAAAAAAGAAAAATTAAAAAAACGTAAAAGTTCAACGTAAACATAAACGTTCGAGTTAATATACATTGATACGAATGTGAAAAATTTAGATATCGGATTGAACGATCAATTTTGAAATAGATATCCGCATAAAATCGCTCTCGTTAGAATTATTCTCACAATCGAATGTGTGCGTTTCAAAAAAATTCCGTATAGGTCGGGATAATGAAGTTCACTCGCTTCTACCCGCGAATCTAGATTGAAAAAGCTGAAATTCCCCGAGCTCGAACGTAATCTACTTAGCTTCCACTTGCCCCACTGGACTATGCGCTTGTGATATTTTTCAGAAACAAACGGTATAATTGAGAACGGTGCAACAATCTCGCCGGAAAACCATAGGAAAATAAAATACTGATATTTACATGCCAGAGATTAGCTACCAGCATTCCATTCGAACGATCGTTTTCATCATGTATAGTAAAAAAAAATAAAAATAAAAACATATATGATATAAATAAAAAAATTAATTAAATAAAAAATATAAAAAATATGAAAATAAAAATATTAAATATAAAAATATATAATATGACAACAATAAATTATTCTCGCAATAAAAGTAACAGATCTTATATTTATGTTCTCCGTGAACTATATTTACAGTCTTGAAAAGGTTCTGATAGATCAAAAGGATCTGACTGATCGTATATGTGTAGCTCATATTTATTCCGATTGAAGAATGTATATATGTGTGTATGTGTGTACGAGATATTCCGTACTGTAGGGATAATGAAGTTCACGTTGCGGCGAATCTAGATTGAACAGATCTCGAATCGCGAGCTTAAAGCGACCAAATAATTCCGTCTGCGTAATCCGTCGAATCCCTTTATTTTACTTACCTTTTATCCCTCGTTCTTTCCGAAAGAGAACATTGATGGGGTGTATTGATGGCACGATTGCCATTATCAGTCGGGAAAATTTTCACAAAGTGCCGCGTCGCATGTAATTGGCAAGTCTTCGTCGCTTTAAATTGCTGCCACATAATCCGTTTCGAAACAGCAATACCTCGTAATCACTTATATTGATTCCTATGCATGTGAAAAATTAGTTAATTAGTTCGCCATTACATCAGACATGAAAAAAATAAATCTTTCATGATATATACTATATCCTGAAGTTAATGACATAATTTAACACAATTTAAGCGAAAGTAAAAATACATTATATGTAGAATATACTTGTATAATGTGTATAGAAATATGTATGCATATATTTTTTTTCAAGCAAGATATAAATATATAAAATAGACCGTGACTGCGAATATAACAAAGTGAAAATGCTTGTTATTGCAACACTTGGCTCACTTACGGTGCACGTAACGAGTTATTAAAGTTGCAACCGTCTCTTGTGATATACAGTTTTCCTGTGATTAAAATCGTAAATTTCGTCGAGATATATACAGGATGTTTTTAATTTAGCGTTAAACTTTTAGAGACATATTCTTTAATTTCGAGCAAAAGATTGATTCTTATAAATTTTTCCTAACTTTCAGCATGAAATGTTCCTCGTTTTTTAATTTATCATCTTGATATTATTATTAAATATTTTACTAACAGAAATTTAAAATTCTTTATAAACGTAAGTCTCACAATCGATGGGATATAAAATTGATATTAAAATAAAATATGAAATTTTATATTATTCTGTCTTGTCCAACTCAGATTGCGCCAAGTTTTTTATTTTTGACCAATCATAATTCCAAAATCGTCATTATTTTCGCTACAAAAGAATCAATCTCGAACTTATCGAAGAATACGCCAATTTATGCCGCCAATTCAGACACCCTGTATTTTTTCCACTTGGTTGTTGTGCTTGCGCCAATGCGCGCATCCATTCCGACTGCATTTTAACGAGGTCCATTGTTGATCTGCTGAATAAAAAAGTCAGAAAAGGCCTCAATGATCGAGGATAACAGCCTCGATCGCTCGTGTTCTCGTCTCAAATCAAAGCGATGGTACGAGAATGTGTAAAATACGTCACATTGTTTGATGGTACGTCCTGTCGATCGAATGAAATATCGCGGTGAAAGATTGAGTAGGGCCGATTCTATTAGCAAAGGGCTCCGACAAGGTAGCACGGAAAAGGAATCGTACCTCACGAAGAAATTTACTACCACCTCTCGACCATTAAGCACTGCCGAGAACAAAATGCGACTAAAGGTTCCTATTGCGAGTAATCTCGCAAAAGTCGATCAATCTTCCTCTTAGTTATTTGTTCCTATTTATATTATTTCCAGAGATATATGTGCATACGTATAATATTTAATATGTATATTAATATTATGTATTACATGTATATACGTAAAAAATATAAAAAATTAATAATCTCATTAAGAAAAAACTTATAAAACTTTAAATCACCCCCTGGATCCTTCGATTAATTCTTTAAAGAGTTGTGGACATGTATACGTTCCATTTTTTCCTTCTCTTTAAAAAATTTTTTTTATTATGTATTACATGTATATACGTAAAAAATATAAAAAATTAATAATCTCATTAAGAAAAAACTGATAAAACTTTAAATCATCCTATGGATCCTTCGATTAATTCTTTAAAGAGCTGTGGACATGTATACGTTCCATTTTTTCCTTCTCTTTTTTAAATTTTTTTAATCAAAATATATATGTTTAATTATATATATATATATATATATATATATATATAATAATAATTAAATAAATATATATATATATATATATATTTCAATATAATTTATGCTTTTCAGAATTTAAACTAGTATTTTTTAGCATATAATTACAAATGTTAATAAAAATTCACTTAATACAAAAAATGTGTACCTTTTAAAAAGTTAAAAATATAAATATATATTGCAAATGGGAGGCAGTAACTATAAGTTTATATAAATATTAGATAGGTATGATCTAATATGAAGAATTAAATGATGAGGATGATTTAGTTTCGAATAACATGGAATAGGCGTGGTAGATAGTACGATTCATCATGCGCTAAAACTTTTAGTTAAAAAGATGTTGATGCAGAATTTATAGTTATATTATAAATTAATATTTTGTAAATTATTTCTAAATTACTGAATAAAAAATAAATTTAGGTATTTTTTATTAAATAATAAATAAAATATAAAATATCTGATTACGCATCATAATTAGAGAAAGTCCCATTTTTTTCGTAAATAATATAATTTATATTATTTAAATTTTTATTCTTTTATATTTTATATATTTTAAAAATTAAATAAATTGTACAAAATCGAACGTTTGATAGGAAAACATGGATTCATTTTCCACAAAAGTCACTTATCTTTAATTTGATCGAAAAAGTAGTAAGAAGCTTTTTGCGTGATTAACGAGAAAGATTTATGAAGGTAAAGATAAAAATTTTTATCTCTCACGCGAAGATAGGCGATATGACAGAGACTTGAAGCAAAAATTCCGATACTTGATGCGCGTTAAATCTTCATAAATTATCTCTTTTTTTTATAGAGAATATGTGAGAAGCTTTAAACTTTAAGATGATTATAAAGTCAATAATGTCGAGTGGAATTTTCGCTCCTAAAATTCAAAACTGATGTAATGAGATCTAAACAGTTGTTCTTATTAGAAAATTTGCATTTTGTCCAGAGAAACGATTGGGAGAAGCGTTTCAAAATTTGATTTTTCAAAAAATTTGGAAAGCGTTTCAAAATTTGATTTTTCAAAGATTAAAATTTATAAATTTATTCGTATAAATTTGCATATATACGTGAAGAAAATAATGAATAATTTAACATGTAACTTATACATATATTTGGTATAATAATTTATTCAACAATTCAAATCTTGCAGGAGTGTCAGCCGGAATTTCTGCACGATCTCGTCTTGAAAATGAAAGCCTATATTTTCACCCCCGGTGATTCGATATGTCGGAAGGGCGAGGTCGCCCGCGAGATGTTCATAATAGCCGACGGTATTCTGGAGGTGATCAGCGAAACTGGCAGAGTCCTAACGACAATGAAGGCAGGGGACTTTTTCGGCGAGATTGGCATACTCAATCTGGACGGATTGAATAAGTGAGTGAAACTTTTCAAGTCTTTTCTGCGAAATGAAGCTCGCATAACGACTTTTCCTCACAATTTGTCTTAAAGAATTAATTTTTTTTTATACAAGAGATTAATATTTAAAACTCTTGTTACTGACGATTATAAAAATTCGCGATTCTATAAAGCTGAGAAATTAAAATTTGGAATTCTTAAAAACTTTCAGACGCACAGCCGATGTTCGTTCGGTGGGTTATTCCGAGCTATTCAGCCTTTCACGAGAGGACGTGCTGGCAGCAATGAAGGATTATCCGGAAGCGCAGGAAATTCTTCAGAATCTCGGTCGAAAGCGGTTGATGGAGGCGCAGAGAGTAGCGCGAGCATGGTCGCGTCGACCTACGTCTCCGGGGCATGATTCGTCCGATAATAGCACCGGTAAAAGGATTGTTGACAAACTGAAGAGTGACGTGAAAGGCCTGAAGAATGTCCTGAGGAAGAGTAGGCGCAATACACGACCGGAAGAGAGCTTGGAGCTACAGCCATTGGCACCGAAAGTTCCAGCTTTAAGGAGACAGCAAAAGATCGATGAGAGTCAGGACCTGACTCTGCCTAACAGCCAGGAGACACCGGCGGCGGTGTCCCCATTGGGAGCCGGCTTACCATTACTGTCGAGACTCAGGTTGTTGAAGGAGAAGGAGGAGAGGGAGGAACGACGCAACTTGATGGATACGCCGAGCCACGTGACCGAGCCTCAAGCACCGCCACCGTCGGAGGCCTTGAACCCCACTAATCCGAATTTACCATTCCTGCAAAGGATACTCTTATTGAAGGCAAAAAACGAGCAGGAAGCGGCCCAAACGGAGAAAGAAGTGCCCATCAACAAGGAACACCTGCTGCCCAAGAAAGAAATGCCCATCAACAAGGAACACCTGCTGCCCAACAACGCTATTCCTGAAGAGACGAGCACGCAGTCCGACGAACAGCCATCTTCGGATCAAAGCGGCATCGCGACTATCGCGGCCACCGCGACTTCGCAAGTCGAGACAACCTACGCGGCCAAAAAATCTTGGGTCGCTCTGAAGAAGGCGTCGTTGATGACCAAGGAAAATTCATCGCAAAAAAGCCCACCGGCCAGAAAACTACAGCAGACCAAAATGTATGCCTCTGTTGACGATTTATCACCAGAGTATTGTGGCCTACCGTTCGTCAAGAAGCTCAAAATTCTCAACGAGAGGCAAAAACTGGCCGAGTTGGAAAAGGCGGTCAGAAGCTCATCCCTCGACTGTGGCGAGAATACCGAGTCAGAGTTTGACAGCAACCTCACGAGGAGTCACTCAGAAGCCTGTGCCATCGAATACGCCAGAAAGCTAGCCAAATATAATCAAGTAAATAATAATTATGCACTTTCTGTTATATGTAATGACTTTTTCTAATTTGATCATATCTATTAGTTCTAAAAAATCAATATTAAATGTTGAAGAAAAATAAAAGATTACAAGCATAAGCTTTTGTACTTTCTATAAATTATTTAGAAAATACTATTTGGTATTTTGCTTGTTAAAACTGTGTATGAAAAATACAAATATTAATAAATAAATGCAGAGAAAATATTTCTATGAAGGTTAAATAATTAATAATAAAATCTAATTAAAAAAATATTAATTTTAACATTACAATTGTTCAATGTTCAATTTCTAATCCGAGTTTTTATTTCATAAGGCTCGACAAGCGTCAGTATCATCGGTGGAGCAACTGTCGCCGGAAAACGAGACGCTTGAAAGGCGGAATTTGAAGAGTATCCTAAAGAAATTATCGGCCAGCAGTAGTAGGGCAAGCAGCAGTGAGACCTCGGCTACTAGCACACCGGACAGACAAGCGGCGACTGCCGAGTTGAAAAAATTGATGAGAGCACCGACGATCGAGGGTTATGCCGCGCGACACTCAAAGTTGTCGAAGAGCGTAACTTTTAATAAATACACGCTGCAAAGTCCGCCATCCGAACAGCCTCTGCAACCACCGTCGTCGAATTCCGGGTCCCAGGATCAGCCGTCACTGTCGCCGCCCAATAAACTCACAATCAGTTTCCGTCCTGTAGGCAGTGCCGGTATCCTGCAAACGGTATCCCGACCACGGGAGGAAGAGTGCCTGGGCGAATTACTCTCTGGAGTCGGCGAGGTCATCAAGGCAGGCCTGGTGAGTACCGCACGCGACTACTTCCTTTGTCTCCTTTGTTTTTGATGGACGTGCTTTGTGGCCTCTCTCCCGCGCTTGCTGTCATCACGTATTCCGCAGGAGTGCTTTTATTAAAGAATCGCTCTCGTCAGTACGAGAGATATTTCATCTTGATGTTTGCAAAATCAATATTTATCGACAATATAAATAAATATTTTAATAGGAAAAAAAATTGTTCAACAGATATCATATCGATAAGTAATTAACTTTTTAAATTTTGATATCTCTCAAATTTATTATTATATTCTTTATAAAGAAATGCAGAATCTCTCGCTCTTACTTCAAAGTAATGTAAATTTAAGTCACCATACATATTGATACATGTTTTCCAAACTATTAAATTCTATCTACTCATCGCCAGATGTTGACCATCCATCAATTACTCAACTACGCTCGTAGCAGTCTCATTACCGTATAACGCATGGTCCAGCTGTCCAATTAATCATATTGCCGTCTTTGACGTTACAGGAGGACATGCAGAGCAAATTCGTACGACAGTTTACATCGCTGGAGTCGGAAGTTCGCAAACGCGACGAGATAATATCGCAATTGCAGTCGCGGATCCAACAACTCGAGCGAAAGAGGAGGAGGTCTCACGACGACGACTCCGGCGGGGACAGCACCGAGCACGACGCTTCCATGGAGGAGGATCTCGATGAGGATTGCGAGGACCACCCCTTCATGCGTGACAGTTCCGTAGACACCGTCCTGACCGCGCGATTGCGCGATCGACGCTCATCGGTGGGCTCGAGCTCACGCAGCAGGCGATCATGGGAAGAGCATTCGGAGAGGGAGACCCTGGAACTGCAGGAGCTGCCGAATTCGATAATGCCGCAAAGATTATCGCGGGAGGACGTGGCGATCGATTTGGAATCGAACAGCGACAGTAGATCGGACGAGGAGTTCGATGTTTCCGTGCGTCACAAGGGCGACAGTGACGAAGGCGACGAAGAGAACGAGGAGGAAGAGGAGGAAGAAGACGACGAGGACGATGATGATGACAAAATCACGCGGCAGGATGGCTACAACAATTGGGAGGTCGCCCTACTGGCTAAGCAGCTCGAGGCGAGGAGAAGAAGCGGCGATAATGCCAGCCCGGGTTCCTAGCGCATTAATGAGATTCTAGAAATACTGTGTTACCTCACAAACACAATACGCTCCGACGGATGGTGCAACCCGCTTGCTGGGTCCGACGGTAGTGCAGCTTTTTGCGAACACACTCATCGCTCGTACTCACAATTAGATTTCAATAATATGACTAGCTGCAGCGAAACTATGATGTAGTCTGATTAACAAAGCGTCGTTAAGAAAACTTCTTTTTTAAAAAAAAGATCTGTTTTTTTCTTTTTAATTTTCTGTTTTTTTCTTTTTTCTTTTTAATTTTTCTTCAGTATCGGGGGCGATCTACTTTGCAGAATCGGCAGACTTGTACATTTCCTTTCCGTACGACGCTGATATTCTCCCGCGTGTGAAAGTAATGACTTTTTTTATACCTTTTCATTTTTTATTTTTTTATTCATTTTTTATTTTTTATTTGTTTTGCATTATATATAGATTTATCACTGACATAATAAGTTTTCGAATTGTTTCGATTTCTTTTAAATTTCGATTTATTGTAAATATTCACAGGTGTGCCTGAGGAAATATTATACTTGGCATATTCACAAGTTATATATAAATATCGTAATTTAATGTACAAGAGTACCTCAAAGTAGTTATGTATTAACGCAGCAAGGTTGCAATACAGGGAGTTTCTTAAATACGAATTTAAAAATTATCTGGGGCAAAAATCGAAACTTTAGCTATAACATCAACAACCAGTATATATCATTATATCGCGCCATTCATAAGAGATATTTGTATCATCCTGCCAATTTGTTGGCGATATTCTCTTTTTTTCCCCTGATTTTATTCTCAATCATATTTCTAAAAAGCTGCACCACGAGCGAACGGAGATGTTAGTCAGTTGTACGAAGCGAGGAGGAATAAATAATTTTAGAAAAGAAACAGAAAGAAAGAAAAGAAAGAAAGAGATAAATATAATTTAAAGCGAGGAAAAACTTAATGAGAATATATTACGTATACTGACCAGACCAAGCTCAATATTTCTAGAGTCTTTACAAGATACGTCTATTAAGCAACAAATGACTATTAAAGTAAGGAAAGAGAGAATTATTAAAAAATCTTGTACATATTTAGTCGATAATTTATTTATCTATGAGTGAAAGAAAAAAAGAGAGCGAATGTATGAAGGTAGAATTACTGAGAAAAGAAATAGGAGATATGAATATAAAAGTTAACACGAGAAAAATGAATTTTGCTGGATTACGAGGAGAAGCATTTTAGATGCTGATATGTACCTACTATGTGCGGAAGAAAGGAACATACAATAAAGCAAATGTTTTCAAATGTTGTGATTTTTATATCCTTTATCGCTTCCCCTGAAGTGGTAAATTTTTTAAATAGTTGTTTTATATTAAATAGTTGTCTTAATTTATCCTAATCTTTATTGTATGTATAAAATATATGTACGACTTCACGATTTATAAATAATACAAATAATAATAAATAATATTAAATATTATTAATAATCTATAAATAATAAATATAAATTATAATAAATAGCATAAATAATATTATAAGAATCTATAGAAAGGTACACATATTCTTATTCAGATTTAAATCAAATCACAAATATTTGCGATTCAAAAATTCCTTATCTTAATATCTTTTTTCTTAATTTTAACTTGACTTTAGATTTGTAATTTTAATATAAAATACTTTGACTTAAATTTTATTTGCATTTCTCTTTTAAATTAAGAATAGATTAGTGAAATCGTCGATACTGATGTAATAACGATAATAAAATGCTTTGTGCGGTACAATTTGAATTTCGCGGTTCGAGTCACGTGAGAGGCGCACGGATCGAGAGGGTGTTCGGAAATCCTATTCGTGTGACAGAGTAAAATCAAACTTACCAATCAGGACAGAGAAATCATTGCTCCTTCGATCCGGATTCGCCAATTAAACGCTGTTTCGCCTCACGAGTAGAATCTTCGAACGCATCCCAAACGGTGATGTAGCGCCACGCAAAGCTCGCGCACATAACCTACAATCATAATAATAACAAAAGCGTCACGCAGGGAACTTTGTTATCAAATACTGCGAAGTCATATATACCTTCCTGGCTCGTGGCACGCACGATTTCGCGCGTGGTTCGCGCGCTTCTGTGATGCCGCAAACGTGAGTCTCCATCGGGACGAGATCCGACAAGATGGGCGACATACGGGCTGGTCTCGAGGACTTGAAGCTCGACGGTGCTCTGTTTGCCAACGTCAAGTACTACGTCAGCGGTGAGGGTGATCCGAAGGTACGACAATCGTTTCCCGCGTTTTCGAACGGACCCGACAATCGTGAAATTTGCAACAATTATACGATGCTCCCGACAATTATAATGATCCTTTCATTACTTTACTCCGAAATCGATAATATATTGTCTAATGGAGGTTATAATATGAGGCATACGCACAATTTGTGAGATAACGTATCGTCTTTCTTTTTGTTAAAACTGATTTTCTTCTTCTAACATTTTTTTGTTATGTTTAAAACATTGAATGCATGCAACATATATTATATGTTATATATGTTTGTTGAAAACCAATTGTTGTTTACCAATCATAAACAATGCTTTTGAACTATTTACAGATTTTGAATCTACTGCAAGAAGGTGGAGCTGAAAGGTCCATTTATTTCAGCGATTTTATTACACATTTGATAGCAGGCTACGATGCATTAGAAAATGATATTTCTCAAGCAAAAGATATATATGAAATTCCAGCAGTCACACAAAACTGGATTTTATATTCTGTTAAATGCAACAAACTTCTGCCGTATCCTTTTAGGAAAGATAATTGTTTTAATATTAATATTATTTATTTAATAATTTTATGAATATATAAAATTATTATCTTTTGTGTAAATTCTAACATTCATCCATCTCTGTTAAATATTTTTGAGTTCAATTTATAAATAGTGTTAAGCAAACAATATTCTTTAATTTTTAAAAATGAAAATATATATTTTCTTAACGAATCAATTTATACATGTAAACAGAGCAAAATATTTCTCACCAGAAGAGAATCAATTATTCTCAAATGTACGCATCTGCTTATCCCAGATAAGTCGAGCGGACAGTAAGTCACTTTGGGCAATGATAACATTGCAAGGTGGCAAATGTCAACTACACTTGGATAGATATTGCACTCATTTGATCACAGGCAAAGCGAGTGGTGTAAAATATGAAACTGCCACGAGACATCATATATCTATTGTAACACCTGATTGGGTGACAGAATGTTGTAAGAAAAACACTCTCATTAGCGAAGTGGAATATCATCCCAGATTGCTAATGTCTCCAAACAGCTCGACGGCTATGATTACTGGATTTATGGATGAAGACACTGATAATAGCATCGCGCAAGAGGAACAAGATCGGACTAAAGCTATGTTGGAGCAACTCAAGCAACGGATGCCATGGAATCAACCAAGTCCACCCGTGTCAGCGAGTACTACACAGGGTCTTGGTGCAACCAGTACAGCAACTGTTTCTTATTCGACGAATGGACAGAATACTGTGAATATTCAATCGCAACAGCTTCCACGACCTGTTGCCTCGTCTAGTTTGGGAACATCCGCGAACGTCCCAGTTCCATCAGTTTCCGATCAGAATGTTAATATTAATCAAGCAAATTGGCTTCCACAGCCTCCTCAGCAAAGCAATGTTTCTCAACAAATAAAAACTCTGCCACAACCGCAAATGCAACAACAAGAGTTATCTCAACAACAAATAAATATGCAACATCAATTATTGCAACAACAGCCATTAACATCACAGCAGCCATTAACGCAACAACAGCTTACACATCAACAGCAGTTGCAACAGCCATCATATAACCAACAACAAATTTTAAATCAACAATTATCACCTCAAGTACAACAACAACAGTTAATAGGGCAACAACAATCTTTGATGCCGCAACAGCAAATAAATTCACAATTACCTCAACATCAATTAACTCCACAGCAACAACAATTATTAACATCACAACAAAAACAATTGAATCAACATCAAATAATTCAACAACAACAGATAAATCAATTGCCGACGCAACAACCACATTTAATTCCACAACAACAACAAGTGCAATTGGCAACACAACAACAACAGCAGCAGCAGCAGCAGCAGCAGATGGTAATACAACAGCAGCAGCAGCAGCAATTACCTGCTCAACAACAACAGATCGCGAGTCAGCATCAATTGACTCAACAACAAGCTCCATCACAGCTTGCTGAACAAAGACAACTTATTTTATTACAGCAGCAGCAGCAGCAAAAAATTCAACAGATTTCGCAGCAATTGCAACAATCCGCCCCACAAAGTTCACAATTTGTCATAAGGGATGGCCAAGTACAACAACAGCAGAATCAACAATTAATCGGACCAAATCAGCAAGGATTTATCGTGAAACGAGATCCGCAGTGGCAACAACAGCAACAACAGTACCATTTACAGTTGCAACAGAGACAACAGCAAATTGGGCCGTTGAGATCCGAAGCGCAATGGAATCAACTTCCCAGACATTTGATTCAATTGGATAAGCAGACACATCTGCAATTGCAACAGATGAACACTCAAGAAAGAGCCCAATTTATTCAGAAACTTCAGAAGCATCGAAATATTATGTTGCAACGACAAATGCAGAATCGTCCACAGCAAGGTCCACAAATTGCTGTTATCAGAAACCCTGGTAAACCGGTACAATCGACCAATTTACAATGGATTCCACAAGTTCAACCTCAAATGATGGGACCGCAACTCACACCAACTCCTGGACAAAAACCTGTGCATTCCGGGGTACAGCCACCGGCATTAACCCCGATAAACTCTTCCAATCCAGTCATCGTACCGACTGGACAACCTGTTCAAGGGCCGCAAGCGTCACAGACAGGACAGACATTTCAACAAGGACAGCTGACGCCTCAGCAGTTGATGCAATTACAGTTGCAGAAACAGCAGCATATGGCTAGATTGCAACAGCTGCATCTTCAACAACAGCAGCAACAGCAACAAGGCGCGCAGCAAGAGGCACCATTAACATCTCTGTCAAATAATGCACATATTCCACCAGATCAACAACTTGTCGTCAACGCCAAAACGAAAACCGCATTGGCTAATATGCTAACCAGCAGATTACAAGGCGGTGCTACTGAGGGTAGTGCGGCTGGTCAATTGAGATTGATGACTGCACAGCACAGACCTCCACCTCCTCCTTCGCAGGATCCACAGCTCTTGGCTGCTTATCAAAGAAGAACTTTGGGAAATATAACAAATGGTGCACCATCAGGAGCACCAATAAAGATGCAATATCCTCCAGTTATGCCACAGCCCAAGACTCAATTTTATGGTCACAATCCAAACTTGAAACGTATGTGTCTATTTTCTATATTATTGTTCTAATATAATTTAACAAAGAAACAAAAATTCTATATTGGAAACGCGTCCGAACAATCTGATAGCTCGAATCTCTCTTGTCTGCTCTTTATAATTTTATAACTTTATATTTTTATAACTCTTAACAACGCGTTAAGGGATGATTTTTAATGCTGACTTGATTTGACATGCTGAACTCAGGGACGTAACACTATAATTCTAAAAAAAAAATAGGAAAACAATGAAATTTGATATTACTGAGGAGTGTTACTTGCTTTACATTTAATATTATATTGCCAATGATGAAAGAATATTTATAATTTCAGTGCCACCAGATCTGTTTTTGTTAGGATGTATTTTCGTTATCGTCGAATATGATGTACAGCGCCCAAGCGAAGTCTTAGTCTGGAAGCAAGTTATCGAGAGACATGGTGGCGAAGTAGAACCGCAATATTGCACTCGTGCGACACATGTATTGGCCATCACGCAAAAGCATCCAACCGTAGTGCAAGCGTTACGCGAAGGAAAACGTTGCGTTAGTGCACATTGGCTTTCTGATGTTGTCAATAAGCAACAAGTGCTACCACCTTGGCATGCTTTGCATTTTCCAACGCCGTTTAGCTTGACTGAGCTTCCATGTGTCAAACAAATCGTATCATTTTCTGGATTTGAGGGAGAGGAACGAGCAAAAGTCAAACATATGTTAGAGGCTTTAGGGGCTAAATACACGAACTACTTTTCCAAACATAACACTCTCCTCGTTTGCAGAAGGTACTGATTGTTATTGCGTGTCATTCTTTGCTGTTCTGGAACTGTTTTATTTATATTTTGAATGTATTTTTTGTGTTGCGATTATTTTCATTTTGTGTTACATGAATATGAGTATTACAAAATAAATACATGTTTGAATATGTACATTTTAGACCAGACGGACAAAAGTATAAAAAGGCACGCGAATGGTCAACTAATGTTGTAAACGCACAATGGTTGACAGATTTGCTTTGTGGACAAATGAACGCTTTGCATCAACTCGAAGGTCCAAAGTATCAGCAGTTTAATCTGAATAATCCTTTCAGACTAGATTATTCACTTGTGCCTCATCTTATGGGTATAACATATCTTAGTTATTAAATAAAGAGATTATTATTAAATGATTCAAATAATTCTATTGTTATTTAAAATGCTCTATTAAATAATTTTCTTTATATTATCTTTTATAGCTGCTTGGAAAATGCCAATAAACATTACTCAAGAATCGTACGATAAGGTAAAACAGGTTGGTCAGGGTCCAAATTCTATCAGAAAATATAAAAAGCCACGATTGGATGGCCCATTATTGAATAAAGAACCGCATCTTCTGGGTTTGGAGGAACCGATCGTCGTTAGCAATCCTGATCCTCCGCCACCTGATAAACAACCCAAAATACTATTTTCTGGTATAAATCCCAGGAAACATGCCAAGGTATCGTATAAATTTTATATTTGGCCTTTCGGAACATAGGTGAAATTATAAATTAAGATATCTTTCCTTACAATTATTTTTTAATCTCTCGTTCCTGCTTCTTCTTTTGCATTTCTTTATTTTATACTTTTATTCCCCTTATACATGTATTACATATCTCGTACCTTTATATTTTCATTTGCTATCACACCTAGTTTATGTGATTTTCAGAGAATTCGAGAATTGGGAGGTATTTTGGCTGTTAGTTGGCGAGATGCCACTCATCTGATAATGTCAGCACCATTACGAACGGTGAAATTATTGTGCTGTTTATCGCGATGTAAATTTATCGTCAGTTTGCAATGGTTGCTCGATTGTTCCGCGAAAAACACTTTTGTAGATGAAAGCGCATATATGCTCGGCGATGCAGAATTTGAGAAGAATTTCAATTGCAATATCGAGAAAGCTTTAGCGAGCCCTAATCGAGGAACAGTACTTAAGGTAATTAAATTATTTGATCACAATATACAAAGAGTGATTTTTAATCACGTGATTCCTAATATGATAGATAGTTTAACTATATTTCATATTTAAACACATAAAAACAAATAAAAATGTTATATTATTTTCCATTTATCTAATTAATTCAGTTTTACATTTTTAACTTGCTTCTATTATACTCACATTTAAATAGGGTAAGATATTTTTTGTCACACCGAGTGTGATACCATCTCCTTCGGCGATGGCAGAAATAATAGAAAGTGCGGGAGGTACAATGGAAAAAACGCGTAGAACACTTGCACAGATACAAGAAATGAATACCGAGAAATTAAATTATATCATCATAACTCATGAAAATGACCTTCATCTGCTTTCCGATATCTTACGTGCAAATATCAGTAAGTAATTACAAATTATTTTTTTTTTTTAATTAACATTTTGTAATCTTATTTTCTTTGTACAAAAAAATTAAAAATTAAGTGAATAATACGTGCAATGAAAATCAATGTTCAATAACTACATGTTTTTCTGTTTGAAAAAATTTACAGATGTGTATAGTGCAGAAATTGTATTGGGCGCAATTGCACGACAATACTTCCAACCTGACGCAAGTCAAGTTTAAAATATGCAAGTTATACATTACCGTATTTTTATCCCTATTATGGGCCTACCAAGTTCTTAGTGAGTTATTTTCGAGACAAAAATCTTTGCTTACCTTCAACAATGGGACAATAAAGAACATAATTTTATGATACAAAAGAAAATTATTTTATGTGTGTACACCCATGCTATTTTTTCGATTGTGGTTTGTATTATCTGTATATACATACACACACACACACACACACACACACTCATAAAAATATATTAAAAATTTATATATACATATATATACATTTAATATACATTTAACATATTTTTGTTCAATAATTTATTTACCTCGTTATTCAAAATTTGTATAATATATTAACATTATTTCTTTTATTCATAAATCATATTTATTGCATTTTATACATATATAATAATCGTTATAATTAATATGACATTAAAATTTGCGGATTTTTTCTTATAGTTCTGAAGACAGCAGACATTACTAGTGTTGCAAAAAAAATTTAAGATTTTTTTTATTTATGCCAAATACGAAAGTTGATAGATAATGTATTTCTAAATGAGATCAATTTCGTATAATTTTAGGAATTAAGAAAATCTTCATAATGATGCATGAAACATGCTGCAAAAATTTTTGCTTAACTTAATTGAGAAAAGAAAAGAACTTAATAGGCAAGCTTAACGATAGTAATATGTGTATTTTGAAGTGAATCTAGGAATAAGGAAACTGTCAATTTTAACATCATTAATTTGACATATAATATTTACATATAATACATTATATATTTTGATAAATATTTCCTTCTCTTCTCATGCAAAATATCAATATAATTATCAAATAAGATTTATTCAATCAAGAATCATAGGAAAACGTGCTCAGTCTCAAGCTAACTGGAACGATACAACAAAGCGCCAGAGCCATAGCCCTCGTAAGCCACATTGTCAACAAACTGTTTGGCCAAGTGACGTAGACTATCATCAATACCGCCGGCAAGCTCTATCATTTGCAGTAACTGTGCTAGCAATCTACCTCTGGTGGGATGTGCATTTACGTCAACTTGCCCTATCTTGGCTTCTAACTCCTTTTGAGACAAGAAACTCTTCAAATTTCTATATTCATCCGTGTAGACATCTAAATCAGGCAGAGCCTGAAGAAGATCCTCAACATCAATATTCTCGATTGTCATCTGTTTGCCAATTCCTACTTGAGTAAGATTAGCCAAGTACGTTTCCAATCGATTAACACATTCAGCTTGGCCTTGATTAATTCTGTTATCGTATGTAGTCACTAATTCAGCGATGTTTATTAATAGGGCAGTCTGGTCAAGAAATCCCGAAGCTAGCAAAGCCTTTAGTGTCTTCAAAACGGCATCCATTGGTCCGTCGATATCCTCTGAAGAAGCAAAAGCGAGAGCCTTTTGCCAGATTTCCTCCTTGATGCTTTTATCCGAAGCCACTTCTATAAGAAGTCTTCGGATCTTAGAAGAGCTTTCTCTTCTGGCTATGGCAGTGAAGATTGGTGTAGCGATAATGGAATTCCTCAAGAGTTGCCAATGTTTTCGGGAATTTCTCAGAATCAATTCACCATAGACAGTGTCCACGATGTCTGACATTCTATCTCTATGAGTTTGTCGACGTCTGAGTTGGCTAACGAAAGCCAATAGCAAATCTTTCCAAGATGCGTACTCAAAAGGCGAGAGTCGTTCGACGGTGTCCCGTACTTCCGTGTTATTTTTTATCATGGATAAGAGCATGATGCCGGCTTTTGACCTAGAAATCATCCTATCTCTCAATATCAGAAGTGTATAATTCAAAATATTATTCTGAAAGAAGCTGGAAAATTCTGCAGATTTTCGACATTCCGCAGGTTTCTTCAGAAATGGCAACAATGTATTTACCCTCATCAAAATCTCATTCTGTAGAGGTAGACTCGAGATAGCGTTGGCGACTAATGTATATGGATCGGATGACACGCTGAAGTCGGTCAATTCGCGTTTGCCATGCGATTGTAAATGTTCAACGAGATACGCGATCGATTCTCTTACCTCCGCCGTCATGTCGGGTATCCTGAGATTCGCTAGCATATAAGCAATTAATTGGCGACGCGGAGGGACGATCTTGTCGTTGATCAACGATGCCGTTTCACCGATTATTTTCGACCATGGTCCCACAAGAGCTTTGATCGGTTTATGATAGATCAAAGGCAAAGCCGCTTTCTTCAATTCTATCAGAGGTATCTTTTCGAACAGATCAGCCTTCAGTGGCCCAAATGTCGGTCGGTAGATTTCATCAGCGTCTAAAATGCCTTGCGATAAGGATCGCCTGACGAAGGATATCGCTGGCAGAACGAACTTGGGCAAATGATTTTCCATGGATTCGAGAATAACATCTATCTGTTCTCCGATAGGCGCATATATTACGGAAGGTAAGATATCAAGACATTCAATCAGTGAACCTCCATTCTTCAAGTAATCTTCAATAGTCTTTACGGAGTGGTATAGTTCATAATTTTGTCTCTGAGAAACGAACAGGAGAATACATCTCGTATAAATTAATCAAATTAACTTAATAAGCTATGCAACTATTTATTATCACGTGCAAGTATAAATTTAATAAAATTTACTTATATTTGTTAAATTAATTTACTTCAAAAGCGCGTCTTGAATCACTTGAACTTATACCTTTTTATTTCTTAAAAAACAAAATAGCTTACCGGCAGCTCATGAAGAATCTTTCCGAGATTGTGTTTTAATCGCGTCGCCGTTTTTAATTTTAATGTTAATTTTCTATCCAGGGACGAGGAATATCCTACGGCATCATCGAACGACCTAGATGATTTTACGAGAAGAAATCCAAATATATAGATCAATATGCTGCAATGAAGCCACATTTTTTGTACCGAACTGATCCAATCGTACTGTTGAGTGGTGTCCAATTCAAGGTATATAAAAAGTTTTAGTTGAACATATATGCGCGTGCATGATCATAAATAACTGTTATTAAAGCATGCAAACGCGCGATAGTGTGAATTGAATTCTCGTCGAACCATATAAAGATTCGTGATTACAGATAAGTTAAATCAAGATCCTTTATAAAGCGATCAAGCTTATGCTGCAATTCTAATATTTTTCTTCTTTTATTCATTTCTGTTATTTAATTATGACTTATAGTATTCTCTAATATTAAATCCTAAAGAAATAACAAGATACAAAAATGTTCAAAAATATAGTTTTATTAAAATATATATTTGTACACATTCACATATATAATTGCATATATATATATTTTTCTAAATTTTATAAAATAAATATATAACATATAATCCTTTGTGCATATACATATATATATATATATATATATATATATATATATAATGTAAAAAAATCATGTACATATTATAAATTTATAAATTTGAAAATTTTTGATATTATTAATATTATTAATATTTATAATATAATATAATTACATAATAAATTTATAATATGATATAATTACATAATATTATTAATATTATATGTGTACATTCTTAAACAATATTTTTATATTTTAAAAATACTTATAAATAATAACTTATAAAAGAGTATTACATCATATAAATTGTATTTAATTTTATATGAGTTGTCGATGATATTTTTGTACTTAATAATAAGGTGTAGAAGATATTTATGAATTATTTGATAAAGGTATACTTGTTTGATAAAGATATAATGTATAGTAAAAAATAAGCATCGATAAATACAATATATATATGAGTCATATAATATGATTTATTCTTATTTTTTATTAAAAAATCCGTTATTTGACCACATTTATTTTTACACATATATATTTCGTTTTAGTATCACGATAAATGCACATGATAGGATCAATGTAAAAGTCTAACAATAAGATAGAAATATTTTAAACTATACTAATCCTTAAGTTATATTTGTTCTAGCTCTATATAAATTTATGTAGAAAAACTTGTCGACTAGCACATTTTATACATCTGCGGTAAGATTATGAGAGTATATTACATAGAGATCTGTTGGTAAATCCAGGACAAATATTTTGCTACGTCAACGAAGACGACGTACTGTGTGAGATCGCAAGTCTGCTCATTATAATCGAACAGCGATCGTGAAACGATGCCGCGCAGTTGATAACGACCCGTGGAAGAATCATAAAGCATCAGTCCGCTTCCACTATCACCATTGCAAGGACCACTGCCATCTCGCATACCAGCGCAAAAAGTGCGATTCGAAGTGAAGCTGACGAAACGCTGGTCACTCCAAAGACATGACTCCTATAATTTGTACAATAATAATTGGACTAGGAGCTTTTAATCTTATCACCTATAAAAAATTTTATTTCTACGACAATAATTTATAGAATCGATCAATTCGATAATTTTTTTACAATCGGTATTTAGATATACATAGATATCAGTATTTCAAGAGTTTAAAAAAATTTGCATATACGCCTTAATCACGATTGCATTAAAACCGATTGCGCATTAAATCACATTCGTCATTCTAATTCGTAACATATAATGATTCTGACAAATCCATCCGTTATGAATATGTATAAGTCGCAATATTAAGCATCGATGTACGCGGACTGCGAGGATTTCTAAAATTTTGTACAACGATTAAATCCTACATTAAATCTTGATAGTGCGTCATTTTGAAAATATTTCTTTTTTTTTGTTTAAGAGAAATCAGATTGTGAGAATGTGACACGAGAATGATGAAATTCATCGAAAGGGAGACAATTTTACCTGACTCACTATCGGCACCTTTGCCATTCGCGGTTCCTGGACATAAGGATGGCCCAACTCGTCCTTACCCCACCCTACAACATATCCTGTCTTGTCGACGACGCTCTGCAGATCGATCGAGTCATACCACATACAAATAGGTTTGATCCTAGGACTGAACTCGACGGGAGTCCTCAAAGTCAAAATCGCCAAATCAGAGTCACCACTGCCTCCGTGATTGTAGTCGGGATGGAGCGTATAGCTCGCAATCTCAATATTCAGGGATCCCGCTTCATGCCACTCCTGCAAACGATATCGTCCCAAAGAGGCCAACATCGCACTGGGAGGGATATTGGTTTGGGCGTCCAGCTTAAAACAGTGTGCCGCTATAAAAAAAAAACAAATACGAATAAAACATTTTTCAACGAGAAGAAAAAGAAGATTGAATTTCATTGATTCAGATCTTCAATGTTTTGTAAATCTCTAATGTAAGAACATTCTTATTTTCTCTTTTTGATTTTTTAAAACGTACCTGTTATAACGTGTTTTTGAGTCAGAATGGATCCGGCACATTGAAACTCAAACTTGATTTTCACGAGAAAAAGGGCCACTAACCACGGCCACTGACCCGGTGATGTCTTCATTCCCTTGGAGATTAGCGGATTAATATTGTTGGTGATTGGCTGATTGCTGATACCGCATTCATAGATATAACTTTGTTGAACAGGTGGTGGCCTTAAAAATGGATTGTTGTTGATCTGATCAGAAAAGGTCGGACGTTGAGTAATAACGGTAGGTTTCTTCGTCGTTCTCCGAGTTGTAGTGGATTGATATATCGGACGTTGAGTGGTAGTGGGTTGATATATCGGACGTTGAGTGGTAGTGGGTTGATATATCGGACGTTGAGTAATGGGTTGATATATCGGACGTTGAGTGGTAGTGAATTGATATATCGGCTGTTTAGTAGTAGTGGGTTGATATACCGGATATTGAGTAATAGATGGATACGAAATTGGAGGAGGCGGTCGCTTGGTTGTCTGTGAAGACCAAAAGGGGTTGAAAATTGTGTCCGGCGGAAAATCATCATAGGAATTATGCGATAGCGGCAACACAGGAGGCGGATACAAAGTGTGTTCCAGCGTGATGGAAGTGACGACTTGTCCCGTTGCTAAAATAATGTATTAATCACACATGTTACAAAAAAATTTTTATTCTCCTTTGTGAAAAAAATAATCTTTCAAGAATACAAGTTAATACTAATATTTTTAAGTAAAGATAAAAATAGTAACTTTAATGAATTTTATATCTGTCTGTAGCTTTATATTTAATCGCTTGAATTATGGACAATAAAATATAAGACAAAATTATGCTGCAATCTTGATGTGGAGAAAAATGAAGAAAAATTGTAACTGTAGTCTCGAATATGTATGCGGCATTGATATTATCTCTTAAAACAATACAATACTTACCACGAGGACCTGAACAATATCGTTGACGGTTAAACCACATTCCGGTCAGTGATGGAATCGGTTGAAGCAAAGGAAAATGAAGATGGTACAACAAAGGTTTACCCCTTTCAACTAATCGAACAGACTCCTCTTTTGATTGCGCCAATTTTAATTGACCGACATAGTTCTAAAATATAGCGATATTTAATGAAATACTTTAATGATTCATGTAACAAAAAGAATTGTATTTTTTTAATTGTACACAAAAATATATGCATTCGACTAATCAAATTTTGTTTCAGAGAGAACAGATTTTATTTCTAATCATTGAACTAACTTTACTTTAGCTTGTGTTGAAAATTATTAAAGATAACTTATATATTGACGAAAACATATGCTTCTTCTAAAATATTGATAATAGAAAATGTGCTTTTACCGTGGGTAACGCAACACCAATGCTTAATGCCACTTTCAAATGAAGTTCGACGTTTTTTGGCGGGGATGGGATTTGGATCTGACCCATCACTTGATTCGTTGCAGAATCGAGTATATATGTAAAATATTCAGGGCATGGTGATTGTTGTCCGGATACTTCTAACAACGTGCATAGTAGCTGCGGCAGCAACACAATCAAAATAGCCTTAGCCATCGTAAAACCTTATCGTAAACACAACAAATTGAACGCACGTTAGTGGTTTGTAATTTCAAAAGAACTTTTACTAAACTTTTCACTACAATTTTATTATTTTTTATCGATATGTATGTCTTCTTGACAGTGAAAAGATTAATCAAAATAATATAATTATTATTAGTTTTAATATAGTTTTAATATAATTTTAATATAGTTTTAATATAGTTTTAATATAGTTTTAATATAGTTTTAATTAGTTTTAATATATAATTTTACTGTTGATAAAGGAGTTCTCAATGTGAAAAACTCAAATCTTATTTTATCTTACGGGATTTACATTACGCACCACAAATGAATCAGGAAAAGTGATAAAACATGCAGATAAGCTCGAATTGTGACATACATTTCAATTCCGTAAAATATACATGATATTTTGTAATGATAAATTATTCCGCAATATAATTAACTTAATATTCTAATATATGATGTATAAATTGTTTAATCACAGTTGAATTTGATGTATGGGATATGATAACTCAATAATATCTATTTTCTTGAAAAATGAAGTAATTTTTTAACTATCGAAATTTTTGGTATTAAATATTTTTACAATTTTAATAGTTTAATAATTTATATATTTGCATTTTTAAATTACAATTTAATTAGCACAAATAAATCACTTTTATTTAAATCGGTTTTTTTAATCGATCGCGACTCAAAAGCTATTTATATCGCATTTTTGTTAATAAAAGATTTTAATTTTTTAACACAAAGTAATTTGTATAATTATATTAAATGCTTATGATTGTAATAAATGCTTATTATTTATCGAGAATGTACTTTATATTCGATAACTTTACTTAAAGATATATGCCTATCGAGTACATACTCTGATAAAAAACAAAAATCAGCGAGATAATTATTTCGCTCTTATTGGATTTTATTTACGTTTTTGTATGATTAGTAGAACATCTATATATATCTGCATTTTAATATAAATGTTTTTTTAAATAATTTTTGTTTGAAGTGATAATCAGCTTGTATCTAATAATAAATGGTATAGTTTATGATTTTCTCATATTTCTTCTATTCATAATATTATGAACGTTATTAATTTTTATCAACGTTTCATCAATATGCATACAAATAATATTCAATAACAATAATGTAATGTACATAAAAAGTTTTTTCTAATTTATCTTTTTAAAAAATGAGAATATTTCTTAAAAGAATTCGTTTTTTTAACTACATTTTAAATCTTATTATGTAAATCCATAAATAAGTCAAATCAACAAACAAATTTTTTTGTAATAAAACTACTCGAAAAAAATGCTGCGCAGATTGAATAAAATGAAACAACGGTTATAAATCGTTTATATTGCAGATAAAGGAGATATATATTTAATATTTAAACTAAAATGCGCGAAGCTAAAACCAAGAATATGAGAAAAATGAGAGTCTTAATGGCGTGATTTACTTTCACAATTCAACATCAATCTCTACCAAAGAACATACTAAATGTCAAGTTAAAAATATATCCGCTTCAGGTAAATAGATGATTTATGCAAATATATGCAAATTCTGATCAAACTCTCGCAATAAGGACATATGTTTCGGAATCTCTTTATACCAGTCACATTTTTTAATCGCTCAAAGGAGAACAATTTTATATGACGAATTAAAGTATCTTCTTGTCATGTCCCGGGAGTTGCATATTCACCTTGCACCTTGGTCGTTCAGCAATCGTCGAACCGGTGATAACAGATTGCGTTTGCGCACCGCTTCATTAATCAATGGACTTGATGAAATTCAGATGAAGATCAACGAAACTTCCGCGAATAAGTGCTCGTTTTTCACTTTGTTACTATCGATATCACATGGTTTATTTATATCTTTTTTTTTATTTCAAACGCTATATATCTATCGTCCATCGTTAACATATACCGCGAGCACTGTTATCTGCTTTGTATTTGGAAGCAATAATTGTTCGGATTTTTCAACAGGTTGCGATCAACTTTGGCGTATTAATTCTCGCAGCTTCGATCCGGCGATCTTTACCGAACCTTCGTCGAGACACCAACTGACCATGGAACGTCTTACCACACGCTTACAGTTTCCAGAAGACACGTTCTGTGATGGCTCCAGTAGTGGGGCACCTCGAACCTCAAGGTGACCATGAGTCGGGTCATCATTCGGTTCTCCCTTGCGATATAAAGAGCCCTAGGCCGATGAACGCAATGAGGAAAATAGCAAATAAACTAGTAATTTCTCTTCTTAGACAATATCGAGATATAAGCAGGAAGACCGGAGAATACGCGGACGTATGTCCGATGAGTCATAAACTTCGTTTGTAGTTTCGACTATTATCAAAGCGAAGTCGGAGAGTTATTACGTCGGAGAGTTATTACGTCAATGATACATGTATTCTTTTAATTACGTAAGCAACAAAATCGAAACAATTATTAATATGTAATAATTAAAACTCTTGTTTTGTTTCCTTCTCTCGTACATCTTTTCGATGATTTCTTTCAAATTTCTTTCTCGAATTTCACGCTTTTCTTACAAATGTGCATTATTATTATTTTTTGAAAAATTGAGAGAACATTCCCAGACAGCACAAAAAGGCCAAAAGATGTCTTAAAGATGTCTAAAGGACATTAAAGGACTTTAAGACATCTTTAAGTCGTCTTTTAGATGTCTTTTGGACATGTGTGCTGTCTGGGATTGCGTTAAAATATCTTTTATAAAAGAATAAAACGGGAAAGTACTGTGCTTGAACATTTCTCATGCATAAACAAGAAACATGCTAGTGTATTATTTATTGTAGTGTATTATTTAGTTGTCTATCCTTAAGATTCATTTGCAACATATATTGGTACCGGTAAAAAAAAAACAAGATTTTCGAGTAGCTCGATGGATGAACAAGAAGTCGGGGAATCCAGGATGTTAGTCCAGTAGTGAGTCATGATCGGAATACGTGATTATTATCGAAATACATTATATGATTAAAATATATCAGGAAAAAATAATAAAATACTAAATAATGAAATAATAATAAAAATCAATAGAACATTGAAATACATTCATTTTTCGAGTAGTTATTTTAAGAAAATTGAAATATGTTATAATATACAGGGTGACCCATTTTAACTTAGGCAGCCAAATAACTCGAAAAATAAGCACACTACGAAAAAATGGTTAGAATCAAAATTTCGTCATTTCGAGGGGGACGTACAATGACGTTAAAATCAGCCCCCCCATCCCTCCCCCTGGGCGGTGAGGGGGGGCAAGTTTGAAATCTTAAATGGAACCCCCTATTTTTCATTGCATATTCTTGTAGCTTATCTCGAGAGCTTTCCAAAACACTATAATTAAGTATCTTTTTATTAAGTACTTTTTGAGTTATAAGGCTTGAAATAATTTCTTAATTTTACATAAACCATAAAATATCTAGTAAACTATTCATTTTTCGATTATCTTACCTTCATACTTTTATGTACAAAATAATGAGAGGAATCAATTGGTGTAAAGAAAACACATAGTTGTTTCTAAGAAAAAATATGTAATTTACAATTAACAATTCCATATTTTTTCTTAAAAACAACTGTATGTTTTCTTTACACCAATTGATTCCTCTCATTATTTTGTACATAAAAGTATGAAGGTAAGATAATCGAAAAATGAATGGTTTACTAGATATTTTATGGTTTATGTAAAATTAAGAAATTATTTCAAGCCTTATAACTCAAAAAGTACTTAATAAAAAGGTACTTAATTATAGTGTTTTGGAAAGCTCTCGAGATAAGCTACAAGAATATGCAATGAAAAATAGGGGGTTCCATTTAAGATTTCAAACTTGCCCCCCCTCACCGCCCAGGGGGAGGGATGGGGGGGCTGATTTTAACGTCATTGTACGTCCCCCTCGAAATGACGAAATTTTGATTCTAACCATTTTTTCGTAGTGTGCTTATTTTTCGAGTTATTTGGCTGCCTAAGTTAAAATGGGTCACCCTGTATAGGTATACGTGTATACATATATAAAATTTTAAATATAGATTGTCTTGAATATATTACTTTCCGATTTTATTCTACTCACGTCTTTCGTCTTGACGTCATTAATCGCCTGTTTCATATCGTAATGTTGCATAAAATGACGTCACAATGATGTTGGTTAATTTCCTGAAGATTTTTCCGTAATTTACACTCTTTACACATAATTAAAAGTTTTATTCATTTCCTCTGATATTTCAAGAAATTCTATAGAAGACGTCAGTGTTCTTTTCGATCTGAGAAATTTGTTCAATTAATAATGATCGAAAATAGTTTGTTTGGTGAATAAAAAAAATCTATATTCTATTTATATATCAGTAAATTAGGGCTTTTGACACATAATAATATAATTTCTTAAAAAAAATTGTTAAAAAATTTGTAAACACATTTCAATTTTTCCAAAAGTAAAATATTAAAAGAAAACAAAGATAATTTTATTAACATTTGCGATAATAAATAACGATATTAAATTAAATTACAGTTATACCGATAAAAATCGTACAATTAGTCTTCGTAATTTTTTATTTCGCATGACTCATCGAATTATAGCTTCAATGCTTTTTAATAATTTTTAAATAATTTTTGATATTAAATCGTAATATCTTAAAGGTTTCCACTATTTTTACGTTGTAACCATGAAATGTGTAAAGGAAACATTATAGAAATATCTTTGAAATATATTCTTTGGAATATTTGCTAGAAAATGAGATCTTTTTAATTATGTTCATACGTAGGATACACTTAAAATAAAATAAACATATGTAATATCTATAAATAATTCGTATATATTAATATTTTAAAGTACATATTCACTTTTGTTCCTCTTATTATGTTTGCTATGCAAATTTTCGCGTGTATTTTACAATAGACAGGACACGTTTTGGATAATGCGATTTCTTTTTATGTTTGATTGTGCTTGTTTTTGCTTGATTCTTGAAAATTACATAAAAGAAAATTACATAAATTATCACTAAAGATTTTCCACATTTCTATGCATATACATTCAATCATTTTAATTTTGCACTAAGATGTATATTTCTGCAATATTATAGACAGAGACAATAATAAAAATGATTTAATGATGCAATTGTCTTCAGACGTTAACTATTCAACGCGAAATATGCATTGGAAATTAAACGATATTGTCATGGTAATAATATTGTGGGTATTTCAATTCCAATCATATTTAATTGTAAAAACTTTGATCATTTTTCTAATTTAGTTTTTCCCAGGAATATAAAGCATCAGTAGTTTTAGCAGCAAAAAATAAAGAGCTTTCTATAAAATAAATTTCGAAATACATGATTAAGAATTAACAAGATTTAATTAACAATATTTCTTTTTTCTGTCTTTAAATTATTTGAAACAATTTTATTATAGAGCTTTAGTATAAAATTTAATATGACTAGAATATGTATACTTTTCTCGTCCATATTTTCTATTTTATAATTATTTTGTATGCTGGAATGTTTTTTTCTAATTCATGTAATAAAATCTACAATGAGAAATTTCTCAATTTTAAAAAATATAAATATATTTAAATTTTATAATAAAAAATGATTTAAAGAGATAAACATAATAATGAAGCTTAATGATTCGTACTATGTAATCTTGTAATTTAATATGCAAAATGAATATTGTAATGGCTATTTTCCAGGAATTCATTGCATTTTTATTGCATTTTTACGCTCTGTTTGTTTTGCTTCGAACTTCAATTTTAATCTTATTAAAAAAAAACATCTGTTTTTGATTCATAAAATCAGACAACATTGGAGATTTTATTACATGAATTAGAAAAATATTCTAGTATACAGAATAATTATAAAATAAAAAATGTTGACGAAAAGAATATATCATTCATTATTATTTTATTATTAACGAACAGGTGATAAATGTAAAAAGAGTACATTTAATAATAATGAAAAATTACTATTCGAATTAATATTTTATTCGGCATGTTTCACTCATTCGAATTTACAATAATCGACCTGATATTAAAATCCGCGAACTTGTATCTTTTCATTAATTTATCGCCGATAAATATTGCCGGTAATGCAATTTTATGCCGAGTAAGACAAATGCTTTCTCGAAAAATCATCCAAGTGATTAGGAAAATATATTTCGGCAAGAGATATACTGAAGAAACTTGCAGAGAAATCTCCTTCAATTCATGCATTCCTAATATCATATATTTAATCGTGAAATTTAAATTCGAAAATTTTCAATTTATTCGAATTTATTTCTCGTCAAAATATATTTTTTTAACTTTGATGATTTTTCAAAAGCGTATTACTAATTATCGCATTGCATGTGGCATTATTTGCGGATACATATGTGTTAATAAGTATCGCAATTTTTTTTCAACATTATGATCGGTATTCATAGTCCGTTCTTATATTTAAGATCACCTTAAGTAAGATTTAAAAATATTATACGGCTATTTGATTGATCTGAATAGAATCTTAAGACGATCTAAGACCAGATTTGACAAAAAAAATATAAGAACGAATGAATACCGGCCATTGAGAACTTTTTGAATTATAAAAATGGAGCTGATTGCATGGCCATATACCTGCGCAATCAGTAAATGCGCAACTTGTGAAGTCTCCAGCATCTCAACGCAGTGTTCCGATTAGGGATTCCGTGCGCGCGCATGTGCGGCTCTGCACTTGCGCGACCGTGAAAGTACAATGTAATTTCAAAAGTCGCGCATGCGCAGAATCGCATATGCGCGCGCACGGAATCCCTAATCCCTAATCGGAACACTGTCTCAACGACGCTGCACAAAAATACGTAAACATAACCTTTGACGTTCATCGTGTTCTTTCAATCACGACAGAGCGATTCCTGGACGACAGTTTGTCACTTTCAAGAAAAATGGACGAGGAGATGGATGTCGCGAACGAGGAAAATCAGGCGAAAGCCTATCGAGAAAAAGTCCCGAATGAAGTCGAGGAAGAATTGACAAGGGACGAAATGGAGGAAGAAGCCGATGAGAAGATCGACAGCGGATCTGACAGCGACGACGATGAGGCTGTCGATGAGGCAGAAGTAAAATCCTTGCAAACTTGCCTGGCAGAGAATCCATATGATTATGCCACCCACGTAGCTCTGATCAACAAGTTGCATAAAATGGGTGAACTGGATCGTCTGCGAACCGCCCGGGACAATATGAGCAACATGTATCCTTTGAGTCCCGATCTTTGGCTTTCCTGTATGCAAGACGAGATCAAGCTGGCAGTCACCCCGGAGCAGAAGGCCGAGATAGTAAAACTATGCGAGCGAGCTGTTAAGGATTACGCTTGTAAATCTTTACTTTATATTATACAAAATCTCATAAATTTAAAATTGTTCTATGATATTTTTCTGCGCATAAGTATTATAGGAGATTAATATTGCAATATATATTTTTAGCTGTGGAGGTATGGTTGGAATACTTGCACTTTAGTATTGGAAATATGGGGACAGAAAAGAATGCGGCTGAGAATGTTCGAGAGCTTTTTGAACGTGCGCTGACTGCAGTTGGATTGCACACTATGAAAGGAGCGATAATATGGGAAGCGTTTCGAGAATTTGAAACTATTTTACTCACATTGGTAAGTAAATGTTGTTTATATGAGTATAGAGGAATAGAGTCTCTTTGTTAAACACTATCTTTCTTCATTTTCTTTTTAAATAATTATTCTTCAATTTATATTTAATTTTAGATTGATACCTCAAATGTGACAGAAAAGAAGGAACAGTTGGGACGTATTGGCAATTTATTCCGGCGTCAATTAGCATGTCCTCTTTTAGATATGAAAAAAACTTATGAGGAATATCAATCCTGGCGTACAGAAGATGGTGCAGAAGCTGTTATTGATGACAAGATTGTGTTAAGAGGATATGAACAAGCTTCCACAAAGTTGAACTTGCTTATTCCTTATGAAGAAAAGCTCAAATCTGCACAAGGAGAAAACGAGCTGCTTGATGCTTACAAAGGATACTTACTATACGAAAAACAACGTCCTGATCCAGGACGTATTACTGTTCTGTATGAAAGGGCAGTAACTGATCTAAGTTTAGAAGAGTCAATTTGGTTGGACTATCTTACTTATCTTGAAGATACGATAAAAATTGAATCTGTACTAGATCCAGTTTATCAGAGAGCATCAAGAAACATTCCATGGTGTTCAAAAATTTGGCAAAAATGGATACGGTCGTATGAAAAATGGGAAAGACCTATATTGGAAGTACAAAAATTATTAGAGAATGCCTTATCAAATGGCTTCTCGATAGCAGAGGATTATCGAAATTTGTGGATTACATATCTTGAATATTTGCGACGAAGAATCGAACGATGTTCCGATGAAGAGAAAGAGAAACATCTAGATGTTATTCGTAATACTTTCAATAAAGCATGCGAGCATTTGGCAAAGTATTTTGGTTTGGATGGTGATCCCAATTGCATTATCTTGCAATATTGGGCAAGAACTGAAGCGATACATGCAAATAACATGGAAAAGGCTAGAACATTATGGGCCGATATTCTTTCACAAGGACATTCTGCGACGGTTTCTTTTTGGTTGGAATATATATCGCTAGAAAAGTAATTATGCTTATTTATAAAAAATTAATTTTTCCATTTAATATTCATAATTACTCCTATTTGTAACTTGTATGAATTTTCTATTCGTTTGCAGATGTTATGGAGATACAAAACATTTAAGAAAACTGTATCAGAAAGCTCTGTCTTCTACAAAAGATTGGCCAGAAAGTATAATAACTGCATGGATAGATTTTGAACGTGACGAAGGTACTTTAGAGCAAATGGAGCTTTGTGAGGCAAAGACGAAGGAGAAGCTTAATAAAGTTAAGGAAGAAAGGCAGAAAGCACAGCAAGCTCTTTCTCAAGATGAATCATCCACGCAAAACAAGAAAGCGAATAAAAGAAAGGCGAATGAAATTGGTAGATGGCAAACTTTAGGAGCTTCTCCATCAAAACTTATAAAAACTGATGTACAAACGAAACCTAAATTACGTGAAAGCCGCTTGAATTTTGATGCTAAAGAAACAAACAATAGAAATCAAGAGGAATCGAGATCAGATATCGCACCACCGCCGGGTTATAAAACGACAAAAGATAATGATGCAGAAGATAAAAATAGCCATGAAGTGAATAATAATATTACAGTTTTTGTCAGCAATTTAGATTATACAGCGACTGAAGACGAAGTAAGAGACATTCTGCAATCAGTTGGACCAATAACATTATTCAAGATGATTAAAGATTATAAAGGACGTAGCAAAGGATACTGCTATGTACAATTGAGCAACGCAGTATGTATTACTTTATTGATTGATGAAAGAAATCTATGAATGAAAACGGAACCACACGCAAATGTAAAAAAGTAAGAACTATAATGATTGGAAAAGTATACCTTATGCATAAGCATAAACTATAATATCTCTAATTCCGTTTTCATGCCTCATTTGCAAATTTTAAAGCATTTAGGTAAAGAAATTACTTTATAAGTAATTGTTTTAATACTCGGCTGTTGTAGGAAGCTGTGGAAGAAGCTTTAAAATTAGATAGGACACCTTTAAAAGGACGTCCTATGTTTGTCTCAAGATGCGATCCTAATAAGGGTACAAGAAGTTCTGGATTCAAATTTAGCTCTACGCTCGAAAAAAATAAACTTTTTGTTAAAGGTATGTAAAAAGATTTTATACAATTACATAATATGTAATAACTTACAATATAAAGTTGTTTTCTCTACGTAATCTGTTTCCTTATTTATTTATGCAAAATTGTTTAATTAAATGTTCCGAATAATATTTTCTTCTAATATTACATTTTTTGCAGGACTTCCGCCTACTACGACGAAAGAAGAACTCGAGGAAATATTTAAAGTTCACGGAGACTTGAAGGAGGTTCGTCTAGTTACTTATCGTAATGGACATTCGAAGGGCTTAGCTTATGTCGAGTATCACGATGAAGCAACTGCTGCGAAAGCTCTTTTGGCTACCGATGGTATGAACGTTCAGGACAAAGTGATCAGCGTCGCGATAAGTCAACCACCCGATCGCAAAAAAACGGAGGAAAATGAGAGACAGATCAAATCATTGGGTGGAACTACGACAAGCCGTACGACATTTGGTCTACCCAAGACTTTACTATCTATGATACCGCGTAATGTTAAAACGAGTAACAGTAATGGTAGCACGGCTCCGAGTAGAAATGGAGTCGGACAGTCGATGAGCAATAAGGATTTCAAGAATATGTTTCTTAAAAAAAAATAACTTAGTATTACATATAATCATGCCTCGGTCTATCGACAATGTGACCATGCATGAATACAATATTTTATGTATCACTATGTGCTGTTACATTGAATTAAAGATTAATTTGATAAAAGTGCAAATACAGGATATGTATTTAAAAATTAAATGTGTAATAAGTAAGTTATGGAAAGTTCTATACGTTAAACAATCGTATAAATTGTACACTACTATTTATACACTACAAAAATTTCCTTCATGCAAATACTAAAATCTATATATTAATTTTTTCATATCAAGTTATGTTTCAGGAAGGAAAATATATATCACAAGAGAGAAAGTTATATATATGATTATATCAAATAAATACTTTTAATATAAAATAAAATTAATATATAAAAAAATGCGTACGCCTAAAAATGTTAATCGTTTGAGATATTTACTGACGATTCTCTATGAAAATCTATGATGACTACATAAATAAGAAAACCCTTTCATTGTCGCGACATATATCATACATTGATTTCGAAAGATAATTATTCTTTTTTTCCAAGAGTGTGATATCGATAATCCAGTACAGACAATACAATCGCAGCTGCGTGTTCGATAGATGATTATGCCTTTTGTGCTTCGGCGAGGCAATCGGTGGCAAACCTTCCTGCGCCAGAGATCTCGCCACGAACCACTTTTTGATTCTGCAGGAATGATAGTAGTACGTGTAAAGCAATGCCATAGCAGCCAGTACCACCAACAGGTACCGGCAATGATAACGCTGAAGAGTCAGTATGGTCCGGTGGAATCTTTGACTATAGAAACCTGGACTGCTAGTCTCCGCCCCTTTGCCTATCTTCGCAATGCTAAAGAGATGTAATAAACATGGGTTAGGTTTTAGCTCCGCCTTTTGACCAAAAAGCGGTAAATTCAAACGTGTAATATGAGAACTTCGAATGGGAAAGATGTAGTCTGATGTAGTGAACAAAAAAAAAAGCTTTTGAAGTAAATGTAATATCACAGTTTATGTTAAAATATTAATACTGCATTTTTATGTACAGCTAAAACAATATTAATTATATATATTTGAGGATTCATTATTTGAATCTGTTTCTGTGGTTATAAAATTTTCACTTTCTGGATGCTTCGTAGACTGTGGGATACAATCGTCAGTGACATCTGCATTTGAAAATTTACTCGAAGCTGGTAGTAACTGCATCATGCTGTTTAAAATTATACCTTTTAATTGATTGTAAAATATTTACAAATTAATACTACTCGCGTTCAATTTTTATGTCCCACATTAGAGCATCACAATGAAACTCTTCAAGATTTAAATATTGGTTAATAAAAACTCGAACATAAATTACTATAAATTATATTACCTTTGGTTTTGAGCACGTGGAAATATAGTCGGCACTGCATTTGGTTTTAACCGAACCTGCGAATAGCCAATGCTTTCTAAACAATCGCTTGTAAAATGCAGTACACAGATACGGCTATATTTTGGCAAATTTCGTACACTTTTTTGCCTGTTCTGAGTGGCTATAGCCTCGATCCACTTCTCTTTTAGAGCTGGATTACTGGGAAACCTACAGTCGCAACACAAGTATATAAATTAAATATATATATATATATATATATATATACACATTACTTTCTCACAATAAAAACAACATTACGTTAAGTCATTTCATCTACTCATTACAATATCTGGCGTTGAGGTAAGAAAATACGTACAAATGAAAATAAAAACATTCGCAAACCAAAATTTTATGAAGTATTTTAAGTTAGAAAAACATGAGCTGAAACATACCCAAAAAATCGCAAACGCGTGTCGTTTTTCTCGTGTTGGCGCTTGTACTTTGTTGTGCTACACTTTTCTATAAAACAATATCGTCCCATATTCTCTTTATCTCTAAAAACTTACACAAGAGAAATCTCAGCGTCTCAGCTCGCTCGATGTTTTGATCACGGCTTTGGATCACGGCGTTGACAGGTTACGTTTGTTGTCATGACACTTTAGTTCTTGATATAAAGCCATGGTGGCGCTATTGCACATGTTTATTACAACTTTTTCCTGCTACTAGCAGTCGACTGCTTCAATAGTCTCAGCACTGATGCTGCCTCGTTAATGCTAATCAAAATGTCAGCGCAGCCTCGAAACTTCTCTTGAGGCCTACATCCGACCGTTTCTATAACTATCATTGTCTTCTTGATCTTAAACAAGCCTTCCTTATTAATTTATCATTGTGCGATTTCACATTGAAGTTGTGTCGTGAAACGAGATAAAAATGTTTCTATCTGGACGTGTATAAATAGTATGCAAGTTTTAATTTGATATTTATTTATATATGTTAGATTAATTTATTTTAAAAGCGTGTGAGTCTGAATTACATGAATTTATATCTTTTTACTTCTTAAAAGATTGTGTTTATCGGTAATTCGTGAAGAACTTTTCCGAGATTGTATTTTAATGGATTGTATTTTAATGGATGTTTTTAATTTTAACATTAATTTTCTGTTCGGAGACAAGGAATATCCTACAGTATCGTCGAATGACCTGGATGATTTTGTGAAAAGAAATCCAAATACGTGGAAATCAATACATATGCTGCAATGAAGCCACATTTTTCGTACTGAACTGACTTTCGAACTGATTCAAACGTACTGTCCAGTGATGTTCAATTCAGGGTTTTAGTTAAACATATATGCGCGTGCATGATCATAAATAACTTTTAATAAAGCATGCAAACGCGCGATAGTGTGAATTGAACTCTCGTCGAACCATGATAAAGATTCGTGATTACAGAATTTAAATCAAGATTCTTTATACACCGATCAAGCTTATGCAGCAATTCTAATATTTTTTTTCTTTTATTCATCTCTTTTATTTGATCATAATTTAAAGTATTCTAATATTCTAAAGAAATAACAAGGTACAAAAATGTTCAAAAATATAATTTTATTAAAATATATGTTTACAATATATATAATACACATAAATTCACACACACATATATAATTGCATATATATATATTTTTTTTTTTCTAGATTTTTTAAATAAATAATATTTAATCCTTCGCGCATATATAAATTACGTAAAAAATCATATACATGAATTCATATTTATAATTTATGAATTTAAATTTTGAAACATTTTACACACAATATTAATATTATATGTGTAAATTCTTAAAGATATTTTTCCATTTAAACATTTTAGAAATATAACGTATCTAAAAGAATATTATGCCATATAAATTATATTTAATTTTATATGAACTATCGGTGATATTTTTGTATTTAATAATAAGATGTAAAAGATATTTATGATTTTACTGTTCGATAAAGGTTCATGATATAAAGTAAATATAGCACAAAATAAAATAAGCATTCATAAATATAACATATATAATATGATTTATTTGTAATTATTTGTATTTTTTAAAAGATCCGTTATTTGAGACTCACATTTATTTTTACATACATATATTAGTTTTAGTAACGCGATAAATGCATTCGATAAAAGGGATTAATGTAAAAGTCTAAAATTTAAAAATAGAAATTTATAAAGATATATATATATATATATATATATATATATATATATATATATATATATATATGAATTGAAACTACACTAATCCTTACGTTATATTATTTTAAATTTTATACAAATTAGTACAGAAAAATTTGTCGAGTAGCACATTTTACACATCTGCGGTAAGATTATGAGAGTATATTACATAGAGATCTGTTGGTAAATCCAGGACAAATATTTTGCTACGTCAACGAAGACGACGTACTGTGTGAGATCGCAAGTCTGCTCATTATAATCGAACAGCGATCGTGAAACGATGCCGCGCAGTTGATAACGACCCGTGGAAGAATCATAAAGCATCAGTCCGCTTCCACTATCACCATTGCAAGGACCACTGCCATCTCGCATACCAGCGCAAAAAGTGCGATTCGAAGTGAAGCTGACGAAACGCTGGTCACTCCAAAGACATGACTCCTATAATTTGTACAATAATAATTGGACTAGGAGCTTTTAATCTTATCACCTATAAAAAATTTTATTTCTACGACAATAATTTATAGAATCGATCAATTCGATAATTTTTTTACAATCGGTATTTAGATATACATAGATATCAGTATTTCAAGAGTTTAAAAAAATTTGCATATACGAATTAATCACGATTGCATTAAAATCGATTGCGCATTAAATCACATTCGTCATTCTAATTCGTAACATATAATGATTCTGACAAATCCATCCGTTATGAATATGTATAAGTCGCAATATTAAGCATCGATGTACGCGGACTGCGAGGATTTCTAAAATTTTGTACAACGATTAAATCCTACATTAAATCTTGATAGTGCATCATTTTGAAAATATTTCTTTTTTTTTGTTTAAGAGAAATCAGATTGTGAGAATGTGACATGATGAAATTCATCGAAAGGGAGACAATTTTACCTGACTCACTATCGGCACTTTTGCCATTCGCGGTTCCTGGACATAAGCATGGCCCAACTCGTCCTTACCCCACCCTACGACATATCCTGCCTTGTCGACGACGCTCTGCAGATCGATCGAGTTATACCACATACAAATAGGTTTGATCCTAGGACTGAACTCGACGGGAGTCCTCAAAGTCAAAATCGCCAAATCAGAGTCACCACTGCCTCTGTGATTGTAGTCGGGATGGAGCGTATAGCTCGCAATCTCAATATTCAGGGATCCCGCTTCATGCCACTCCTGCAGACGATATCGTCCCAAAGAGGCCAACATCGCACTGGGAGGGATATTGGTTTGGGCGTCCAGCTTAAAACAGTGTGCCGCTATAAAAAAAAAACAAATACGAATAAAACATTTTTCAACGAGAAGAAAAAGAAGATTGAATTTCATTGATTCAGATCTTCAATGTTCTGTAAAGCTCTAATGTAAGGACATTCTTATTTTCTCTTTTTGATTTTTTAAAACGTACCTGTTATAACGTGTTTTTGAGTCAGAATGGATCCGGCACATTGAAACTCAAACTTGATTTTCACGAGAAAAAGGGCCACTAACCACGGCCACTGACCCGGTGATGTCTTCATTCCCTTGGAGATTAGCGGATTAATATTGTTGGTGATTGGCTGATTGCTGATACCGCATTCATAGATATAACTTTGTTGAACAGGTGGTGGCCTTAAAAATGGATTGTTGTCGATCTCATCGGTAGAAGTGATCGTAGGTTGAACGGCGATAGATTCTTTTGGAAGCTGAGTGACAGGTGTATGTAACGTTGACGTATAAACTGGAACTGTCGGCTGCGGATTCGGCAAAAAGATACTGGATTGAAAATTTATGTCCGGATTTTGCTGCGGCGAATCATAAGAATTCTGTGAGTGCGGCAACACAGAAGACTGATACAAAGTGTGATCCAGCGTAATGGAAGTCACGACTTGTCCCGTTGCTAAAACGAAATACGAATCACACATGTTAAAAACAAATTGTATTATCTTTTGAGAAAAAAATAATCATCCAAGAAAATATTTATTCTAATATTTTTTAGTAAAGATAAAAAAGTTCCTTTGACGAATTATATATCTATCTGTAGCTTTATGTTTACTCTCTTGCATTATAGATATTAAAATATAAAACACAATTATGCAGCAAACTTGATGTGGAGAAAATTGGAGAAGAATAGCAACTGTAGTCTCGAATATATACGGCATTAATATTATTTCTCAAAACAGTATAATACTCACCGTGAGGACCTGAACAATATTTTTGGTCGTTAAACCATATTCCGGTCAGTAATGGTATCGGATGAGACAAAGGAAAATGAATGTGATACAACAAAGGTTTATCCCTTTGATCCATCAGAGCAAACTCCTCTTTCGATTGCGCCACTTTCAATAGACCAACATAGTTCTAAAACGTAGCGTTGTTTAATAAAATACTATAATCGTTCATAAAACGAAAAGAATTGTATATTTTTAATTGTACAAAGAAATATATTCATTGGACTAATAAAATTTTGTTTTAGAAAGAACAGTTTTATTTGTATTCATGCAACTAATTTCTGTTAAAAGTTATTAAAGATGATTTATATATCGACAAAACACCATGCTTCTTATGAATTATTAATAATATAAAATGTGCTTTTACCGTGGGTAGCGCAACAGCTATGCTTAATGTCACTTTCAAATAAAGTTCGACGTTTTTTGGCGGGGATAGAATTTGGATCTGACCCATCACTTGACTCGTCGCAGGATCGAATATATATGTGAAGTATTGATGACATGAAGATTGTTGCCCAGATACTTGTAACAGCGCGCAAAATAGCTGCGGCAGCATCACAATCAAAATAAGAACCTTAGCCATCGTGAAGTCTTGCAAACAGAACAAAATGAACGCAAGTTACTTTTACGTTCTTAATTTCAAAATAACTCTTATTAAACTTTTCATTAAAATTTTATTTTTCTACCGATATGTGTACGTCTTTTTGATAGTGAAAAGATTAATCAAAATATTTTCAATGCTCAATATGTTCTCAATATAAAAAGATCAAATTTTACCTTATTGAAAATAACACTTAATAAAAACACAAAATTATCTTCGATTAACACATTAATATAAATATCTGTATTGTCAATCGAATTAGAAACACAATTTTTTGTAATGCGCAATGATTTTACGCCACAAATGAATAATTCCTAGAAAAAGTGACAAAATATGCAGATAAATTTGAATTGTAAAATATATTTCAATTAATCCATAAAATATTTACATATAATGTTTTATGAGTTATTTCGTAACGTAATGAATTCAATATGTCACTATATCATGTAAGAAATTATTTAATCGTGTTTAATTACAATTTGATATAAAATACAAAAGTACAACGATATCTGGTATCAACGATATCTGCTTCTTTGTAAAATAAAATAATATTTCAACAAACAAAATATTTGCTATTAAATATTTTTACGATTTTAATAATTCAATAATTTATCTATTTGTATTTTTAAATCACAGTTGAATTGGCACAAAAAAATCATATTTATTCAAATCAGTTTTTTAATTGATCGAACAATAACAATAATGTAGTGTACATAAAATGTACTGTTTTGTATCTGCTTTGAATTTGAAATCAACAATTATTATCTTTGGCTTATTAATTCTTGCAGCTTCCATACGACGATCCTTATCGAACTTCCTTGAGACATCAACTAATCATGAAACGTCTTAACATACACTTACATTTTCTAAAAGACACATTCTGTGATGGCTACAATAGAATGACATCTTGATACAAGGCGACCATGTGTGAGGTCATCATTCGATTTTTCCTTGTGATATAAAGAGCTTTAGATCGAATGCAATAATAAGAGAAATAGCAAATAATCGACGTATAATTTATTAACTTTATTTGTGATTCGATCATTAAACTATCATTAAAGTGACGTCAGATAATTATTACTTCAATGACGCATGTATCTTTTTACGTAAGCTAAAATCGACAAATTATTAACATGTAACAATTGAAAATCTTTATTTTTTGTTTCCTTTCTCTCGTACATCTTTTCAATATTTTTTTCAAGTTTATTTCTCGAACATGCTTTTCTTATGAACGTGCACTTATTGTTTCTAGAAAAATTAAAAGAATATTACGCTAAAATATCTTTTATGGAAGAATAAAACGGGAAAGTACTATGCTTGAACATTTCTTGTGCCAAACAAGAAACAAGGTATTAACTGAAATAAATAATATTCAGTTAATCAGTTAATACCTTGTAATATGTACTCGCTTTTTTTTGTCCTTTTATTATGTTTGCTAAGCAATTTTCGCGTATGTTTTACAGTAGTTTGGATGTTTTATTGTTAGACAATTCCATTGTGTCTTTTTATATTTGATTTTTCTTGCTTTTGGTGCTGGTTCTGGAAAATTACATAGAAAAAAATTATATAAATAATAATAATCAAGAGATTTTTCAGATTTCTATTTCATATACATTCAATTTACAAACATTTTAATTTTAATATGTATATACTTTGTACACAAAATATTATATAATATATTATAGAAAAATACGAGAATAATGAAGACATGAATAAATGATTTAATGATGCAATTGTTTTCGCATGTCAACTAATCAACACGGCAAAAAATATACATGGAAAATTGGAATGATAATATAGTGGTAATATTTTAATTCCAATTATATTTATATTGTAAATGCAAAATCTTTTACCATTTTTCTATTTTAATTTTTCCTTTACAGAAATATAAAGCATCAACAGATTTTTGCTACACACAACAAAAAATTAAAGGGCTTTCTATTTATTTTAAAAGCGTGCGAATCTGAATTATATGAGTTAATACCTTCTTAGAAGACAAGATTGGCAACTTGTGAAGAATTTTTCCGATTGTGTTTTAACTGCGTCGTCATTTCTAATTTGAACATTAATTTTCTATCTAAGGACGAGTAACATCCTACATCATCGTATGACTTGAATGATTTTACGAGAAGAAATCCAAATATAGAGATCAATATGCTGTAATGAAGCCACATTTTTCGTACTGAGTTGTTTCAATCTGTTGAGTGGTGTTCAATTCAAAGTATCAAAAATTTTAGTAGAACATAGATGCGCGCATACATACACGATCATAAATAACTTTTATTAAAACACGTGATTGTGTGAATTGAACTATCTCTCGATCGAAAACTATATAAAGATTCTATAGAAAGATTCAGGATAAATTAAAACATGATCCTTTACGAAGCGATCAAGCTTTAGGTAATTCTAATATTTTTTATTTTAATCATCTCTTTTACTTGATGATTCACGACTTACAGTGTATTCTCTAATATCTTAAGGAATAACAACAATATTCAAAGATATAACTTTTGTTAAAATATATGTTTATATATGCATATAAATTCACACACACTACTACGCATATAAGTATTTTTCTAGATTTTATAAAATAAATAATATATAATATTTTGTGCAGATATATATATATATATATATATATATATATATATATAAATTTAAAATTTAATTTTTTTTTAAATTAATTTTTAATTTTTAAAACTTTAGAAATTGAAAGAAAATTATTCCATTAATACAGTGGTTTGTGAGACAAAATCTAAATAAAATAGGAAAATTTAGGCAAGAAAACCACATAGGATTGATGTCATAGGAAATAAGGAAAAAGGAGATTAATCGGTTTTTACACCGACAATAAGTAACTGTGTGCGATGTTCAGCTTCGTTTAATTCAAGTAAAAAGCAATGATTGTTTCTCATTTCAACTAATTGAAGCTTCACGTCATACGTAACGTATTATCTTATTACTAGTGAAAGACGGCTTAAAATCTCACTTCCTAAGACTGAAGTTCTGTTCACTCGTAATTGAGAGAAAAATAACTCGACGAAAGTGATGACTTCACTCTGATTGAGTGAATTATTCACTTCGAACCGAGTGACACATTCACTTTACGTTCAGAGTTAAACAATTCACTTTTGTGAAAAGTAAATGTTCACTAATTACGAGTGGCAGTATTTTCACTACTACTTGGAGTGAATATTCACTCGTTTGGAGTTAGATTTCACTCTAAGAAACTTAGAGATAAATTGTGCCTTCTTGGTAATATTGTTATTCAGTAGAGATCTGCGGGTAAATCCAGGATACATATTTGGCTACGTCAACGAAGACAAAGTAGTGCCTGCCATGGCAGAAATTCGTGGGCTCTCTCACAGTCCGCGAAAGGATGCCGCGCATTTGATAACGCTGCGTGTCAGGATCGTAAAGCATTAATCCGCTTCCACCACTTCCAAAGCATGGACCGTTGCCGTCTCGCATACCAGCACAAAAAGTGCGATTCGAAGTCAAGCTGGAGAACTGCAGGTGACTCGAAAGACATGTCTCCTAATAATTTAAACAATAATTAGACAAGGGGTTTTTAATTCTATGACTTATACAAACTTTTATTCTGTATAAATAATTCTGTGTAAATAATTTATAAAATCGATCAATTTGATAATTTTTTGCAATCAATATTTATACATTATACCAATGTTTCAAGAGTTTACAAAAATTTGTATCTACGCCTTAATCGCGATTAATTAATGTGCATTAAAACCGATATCGCATTCATCATTTTAATTTAAAGCATATCATGATTTTGACAAATCCATCTGTTATGAATATAAAACGAATCGTAATGTTAAACATTGAAGCGCAAATTATAAGAATTTATATATAAAATTTTGTACTTAACAATGATGTAATCTCACATGAAATCTTGATAATATCTCATCTTGAAAATATTTCTTTTTTCATTTAAAAGAAATCAGATTGAGGATGTGATGACGAAAATAGAAATCATCGAAAGGGAGACAGTTTTACCTGACTCACTATTGGCGCCTTTAACATTCGGGGTTCCTCGGTAAAAGGTTCCTTCCACCATACGATATATCCTGTCTTGTCGACGATTTTCTGCAGATCGACCGAGGTATACCACATACAAATAGGTCTGATCGTAGGGCTAAACTCGACGGGAGTCTTCATTGTCAGAATCGCCAAATCGGCGTCACCACTAGTGCTTGAGGAATTGAAATCAGGATGGAACGTAAAGTACGCAATCTCTCTATATTCGGTTCCTGTTTCATTCTGATTAAGCAGATATTTTCCGAAAGATGCCATCAATGCATCGGGAGAGAAGCTTTCGGTCGTCTTAAGGCAGCTTGCCGCTATAAACAAACGCGAATAAAGCATTTTTCAACTGTACCGTATGAGAAGAAGATCGAATTTCTTAGAAATGAATATTCAATATTCTGTAAATTTCTAATAAATGGACAATTTCTACTAAATGGATTTCTTCAAACACACCTGTTATAACGTGTTTTTTAGATAGAATGGAGCCGACACATAACAATTCATATTTGGTTCTGAAGTGAAAGATCGCCACTAACCACGGCCACTGACCCCGTGACGTCTTCATGTCATTGGAGCTTAAAGAATTGTAGATGATTGGCGGACTGCTGATACCGCACTCGGAACTTTGTTGATCAGGTTGAACAGGTGACTGTGGCTTTAAAAGTGGATTTTTGTTGATCTCGGAGGAAGTGATCGGACGTTGAGTGAGAGGTGTATGTGACGTTGACGTATAAACTGGAACTGTCGGCTGCGGAGTCGACAAAGAGATATTGGATTGGAAATTTGTGTTCAGATTTTGCTGCGACGAATCATAGGAATTCTGTGAGTTCGGCAACACAGAAGACAGATACAAAGTGTGATCCAGCGTAATGGAAGTCACGACTTCTCCCGTTGCTAAAACGAAATACGAGTCGCACATGTTAAAAACAAATTATATTATCTTTTGAGAAAAAAGTAATCTTACAAGAATACATGTAAATTCTAAGATTTTTTAAGTAAAGATAAAAATAGTTCCTTTAACGAACTTTATATCTATCTGTAGCTTTATACTTACTCATTTGAATTATGGACAATAAAATATGAAACAAGATTATGCTGCAAACTTGATATGGAAAAAAATTGAAGAAAAATTGCAACTATAGTCTCGAATATATACGGCATTAATATTATTTCTTAAAAACAATATTATACTCACTGTGAGGACCTGAACAATATTGTTGATTGTTAAACCATATTCCGGTTAGTTGTGGTATCGGTTGAGGCAAAGGAAAATAAATGTGATACAACAAAGGTTTATCCGTTTGATCCACTAATTTGTTTTTCGATTGCGCCACTTTCAATATACCGACATAGTTCTGAAACGTTGCGATGTTTAATAAAATATTTTAATGATTCATAAAATAAAGAGAATTGTATTTATTAATTGTACAAAATTAGTTGTACAAAGATTGTACACAAAATTTTTAATTGTAAAATAATATATGCATTCGGCTAATCAAATTTTATTTTAGAAGGAACAGATTTTATTTGTATAATTAACTTTTGTTGAAAGTGATTAAAGATGATTTATATATTGATGGAAACACTATGCTTCTTCTGAATTATTAATAGTAGAATATTTGCTTTACCGTGGGTAACTCAACAGCGATGCTTAATGTCACTTTCAAATAAAGTTCGACGTTTTTTGGCGGGGATGGGATTTGGATCTGACCCATCACTTGATTCGTCGCAGGATCGAATATATATGTGAAGTATTCAAGACATGGAGATTGTTGTCCGGATACTTCTAACAACGTGCAAAGTAGTTGCAGCAGCAACACAACCAAAATGGGAACTTTAGCCATCGTGAAGTCTTATTGCAAACACAACGAAATGGACGCAAGTTACTTTCACGAATGGTTCTTAATTTCAAAATAACTTTTATTAAAATTTTCACTATAACTTTTATTAAACTTTTCACTACAATTTTATTTTTCTACCGATATGTGTGTGTTTTTTTGATAGTGAAAAATTAATCAAAATAATATAATCATTCTTAATTTTAACACATAATTTTGTTCGATATTTTAACATATAGTTTTAATCGATAAAGAGAAATTTTTTAATGGGACAAGTTCAAATTTCACCTTACTCAAAATCTTAATAGAAAAAACAAAATTAGCTTCGATTAACACGTATGTATAATAAATATCCGTGTCAATCTAATTAATAACACAAACTCGATTTGTAATGTAAAATGCGTTTACGCCACGCACCACAAATAAACCGTGAAAAGTGAAAGAACATGCAGATCTCGAATTGTGAAATATATTTCAATTAATTCGTAAAAATATACATATACATAATGTTCCATGAATTATTCCTTAATATAATAGATTGAATATTTCAATATATGATGTGATAAATTGTTTAATCACAGTTTAATATAAAATACGAAGTTCAACGATATTTACTTTCTTGAAAAATGAAATGATATTTCAATCAACGAAATTTTTGCTATTAAATGTCTTTATGATTTTAATAATTCAATAATTTATCTATTTGTATTTTTAAATTACAATTGACTTCGCCCAAAAAAATTATTTCTATTTAAATTAGTTTTTTTTAAATTTGAACAATAATAATCATATAATATATATAAAATACTTTTTCTAATCTATTTTTTGAAATAAGAATATTTCGTAAAAAAATTAATTTTTTTTAATCATATTGTTAATCTTATTGGATAAATCCATAAATAATCAGTCAAATCAACAAAAATTCTTTTTGTAATAATAATAAAATTAATCGGATAGAAATGCTGCTAGATTAAAAAAATTGAATTAGTAGATATGATGCTTTTATAATGCGGATGAGAGAGTACTTAATATATACGAAACTAAAAACTTCTGCGAAGTTAAAACTAAGAATATGTGAAAAATGAGAATGGCGCGATTTATTTTTACAATTCAACATCAATTTCTACCAAAAAACATGCTAAATGTCAAGTAAAATTTTCGTTTCAGATAAATAAATGATTTATGCGCAATGTATATGCATATTGACCAAGTTTTCGCAATAAGAACACATATTTCGAAATTTCTTTAATATCAGTCACGTTTTCAATCGTTCAAAATTAGAAGAATTTTATACGACGGTGAATTATCTTCCTGAATTATCTTTCCTGTATTTCGAACTGTGTATTCATCTTGCATCTTGATTATTCAGCAATTGTCGAACTGATGATAACAAGTCGCATTCATGCGCCGCTTCATTAATCAATAGACTTGATGTAATTCATGTGAAAATCAACACTTCCGCAAATAAGTATCCGTTTTCACTCTATCGATATTACATGGTTATATTTATATATATTCTGTTCGTTTTTTTATTTTAAAATATTATATATTATATGCACGTCCATCGATCGTTAATATATTGTATATCGCGAGCACTGTTTTGTATCTGCTTTAAATTTAGAACAATTAACTTTGGCGTATTAATTCTTGCAGTTTCGATCCGGCGATCTTTATCGAATTTCGTCGAGACATCAACTAACCACATAAACCACCTTAACATACGCTTACAGTTTGCAGAAAACACGTTCTGTGATGGCTCCAGTAGTGGGGCATCTTGAATCAAGGCGACCGTGAGTGAGATCATCATTCGGTTTTCCCTTGCAATATAAGAGCTCGAATGCAGTATTATGAGAAATTGCAAATAATCGATGTATGTCCAACGAGTTAGGAACTTTATTTGTACTTTGGCTATCATCAAAGCGAAGTCGGAGAGTTATTACGTCAATGAAATGTGTACTCTCTAAAAATGAACCAGTGTATTATCACTGTGAAAAAGTCAACACTGTGAAAAATAATAAATAGTCACTGATTATGTAAGTACAATACTGTAAATCAGTGATATTTTATTGGAAGAATTAGTTAATAATATTGATATATTATATTAATAGTTAATATGTTATAGTATTAGTTGTTATATGTTATAGAATTAATAATATTATAGAGTATATAAGAATTAATAATATTATAGAGTTAATAATATTGATATATTATATTAATAGTTAATAGTTAATAGTTAATAAATTATGATTAATAGTTAATAATATTGACTGTTTCAATCAGTAAAATATTAAACTACAATTTATCTTTCTATTTCATATAACATTAAAGATTTTATTTATATTTATTGTATTAAAAATTTTTTTTTATTTATATTACGTGCATATTGAACTTGTTATTTTAAATAGATAATGCACGAATAATTTTTGTTTATTCGCCGAAAATTTATTTGTCCTATTTATAAAAATCGATTTAATACCTGAAGTCTCTCTATTGAGAATGTATCAGAAATTGAATTAATCAATTGTATCAGAAATCGAAGTAGTATTTTTAATTTTATCTATTCCTTTTTGCATACTTTATTTAATTCTCATGACTAAAACTTAAATAGAGAGATAGTAATCATAAACGAACAGACTAGCGATTATTGGTTTTACAATAGAATTTATTGGTTTTACTCGTACAGTGAATTTTACTTTAACTGATTATAATCAATTAAAATAAAATTCTAAGATATAAGACAAAGTAACAAAAAGTAAGTTTCTGAAGACTAATAAATACTTATTGATTCTCAGTGAAAACTTGCTTTACTGTTTAAATGTGATAGTGATAATGGTATTTTCACTGATTCACTTTTAGAGAATATCCTTTTAATTATGTAAGAGCACAGAATCGACAAATTATTAACATGTAACAATTCAACAAAAGAAAATCTTTATTTCTTGTTTCCTTTCTCTCGTACATCTTTTCAATAATATTTTTTTCAAGTTTATTTCTCATACGTATTTTTCTACGAACGTGCACATTTATTATTAGAAAAATTAAAAGAATATTACGTTAAAATATCTTTTAGGAATTAAAAGAATATTATGCTAAAATATCTTTTATAAAAGAATAGAACGAGAAAATATTATGCTTAAATATTTCTCGTGCCAAACAAGAAACACGTTGTATATTATTTATTACAGTTAATATTTTGTACTCACTTTTATTTTTTTTTATTATGTCCTTTTTATGTTTGCTAAGCAATTTTCGCGTATGTTTTACAGTAGTTGGGATACGTCTTGGATAACTCGATTGTTTTTTTTTATGTTTGATTTTGCTTGCCTTTGCTGGTTCTGGAAAATTACATAAATTAATTTATGATTATAATTATAATCATAAATAATCAGAGATTTTCTAGATTTCTATTACATATATATTCAATAATTTTAATTTTGCATTAAAGTGTACATACATTTTTGAAATATATTATATAATATATTTCATTTTTTTATTAATCACACTGTCAGTTTTACTCGAAGACTCCAAACTCCAACTTTAATCTCACAAAGGAAACATCTACTTTTGATTTATGGAATGATATAATTCTCACTGAAGATTTTATTACATGAATTAAAAAAAACATTCTAGCTAATTTAAATCCGCAAATTGTATCAATTTATTTTAGTTTATCTTTCGAAATATAGAAATATATTCCATATTAATAATATATAGAAATATATTGTATTAATAATTTTGACAATTTGCGAAAGCGTATTACATTACTGGCATTATTTGAATGAATAATAAACTTATCACTTTCAAGAAGAGTGGAGAGGGAGATGGATGTCGCAAACGAAGATCACGCGAAAGTTCATCGGGAAAAAGTCCCGGATGAAGTCGAGGAAGAATTAATAAGAGACGAAGCGTAGAAAGAAGCTGATGAGAAGATCAATGATAGTGTCGCTAACGGAGGAAGAAGTTTTAAAATTAAATAGGACACCTTTAAAAAGACGTCCTGTTTGTTTTCAGATCCGATGCTAATACGAGAAGTTCTAGATTCAAATTTAATTAAATTATTAAATTAATTCTACTCCCAAAAAATAATTTTTTGTTAAAGGTATATAAAAGTTTTATGCAATTACATGATAATAACTTACATTACAAAAACTGCTTTCTTTATGTAATTATAATCTGTTTCCTTATTTATTTATGCAAAATTGTTTAATTAAAATGTTCCAAATAATATTTTCTTCGATATTACATTTTGTAGGACCTCCACCTACTGTGAAAAAGGAACTCGAGGAAATATTCAAAGTTCATGGAGATTTAAAGGAGATTCGTTTGATTACTTACCATAATGGACTTTCGAAGGACTTATCGAGTATCACGATAAAGCAATTGATGTGGAAGCTCATTTGCCTACTGATGGTACAAATATTCAGGACAAAATGATCAGCATCGTGATAAGTCAATCACTTGATTTTAAAAGAATTCAAACGAAAAAAAATGAGAGACAGATCAAGTTATTGGAACGACAATAAACTATACAACATTTGGTTTGTCATAGATCTTATTATCTATGATATCGCGTAATATTAAATAATAAATAAATAGTAAATATTAAATAATAATAATAATATTATAAGTAATAGTAACGACAGCACGATTCTAAGTAGAAATGGAATGAACAATCAAGATTTCAAGAATGTTTCTAAAAAAAAAGTTGGTATCATATGTAATAATCATGTCTCGATTTACCGATTATCATCGCGATTACGCATAAATACAATATCATTTCATATGTCAGTATGTGCTGTTACAATAAATCTGTCTTATCAGTGAATTAAAGATTAATTTGATAAAAGTGCAAATACTGGATATTAAAAAATTAAATGTGTAATAGTTATAGAAAGTTCTCTGTACGTTAAACAATCATATAAATTATACACTTTATGCACTACAAAAATTTCTTTCATGCAAATGCTAAGCTAGTATTAATCAATCTAAACTCGATACATATTAAATTTTCATATGTATTTTACCGAGTGATATTTCAGGAAGGAAAATATATCACAAGAGAGAAAGATATTTGATTATATATAAAATAAATACTTTTAATATAAAATAAAATTGATATATACAAGAAAATACGTGCGCCTAGAAATGTTAATCGCTTGAGATATTTGCTGATGATTCTCTATGAAAATTTGTGATGCCTACAGAAATAGGAAAAAACTTCCATCGTCGCAACAATATCGTACATTGATCTCGAAACGCAACTATCCTTTTTTTCCAAGATGTGTGATATCGACAATCGAGTACAGACACTACAATTGCAGCTGCGTGTTCGATAGATGATGATGCCTTTTGTGCCTCGGCGGGGCAATCGGCGGTGAACTTTCCTGCGCCAGAGATCTCCTCGCCATGAGCCACTTTTTGGCTCTGCCGGCGTGATAGTAGTACGTGTAAAGCAACGCCATAACAGCCAGAACCACCAACAGGCACGTACCGGCGATGACAACGCTGAAGAGCCAGTACGGCCCGGTAGATTTTGGTAATGGTGAACTTGTCGACGAATCGTCGTAGGTAGAAGTAGACGTCGGCTGCTTCGGTAGCTTTGGCGATAATGCCTCGTGGTCGCTGATTAAAATGTCAGCGCAGGCTCGAAATTCCTCTTGAGGTCCACATCCGACCGCTCCTGTAAGCATCATTATATGGTTTCACAGTGAAGTTATGTTCTGACATGAGATGAGACAAGAATGTTTATCTGATCATATGTAAATATTATAAATAATGTCTGCGTATGCAATTTTCTTTCCAAACATATAATTGGTTTAGATCTTGGTAAAAATCGTGAAAAATATCGTGAATTATATTAGCGTGCCAATTTGTATGTATATAAAACTATACTTTCGTATAGAACGATATTATGCAAGGGAAGTAACTCTTGAATCATTTTTATTATGCAAGATATAGTAATAATAGCACTTTCTACCGCGTCGATAGAATCTTGATGACATATCAAAGCAATGACATCAAACGATTATTGCAACATGATTATTGTATTGTAAGCACTTTCTAGCACTTGTTAGATTTCACATATGATTGTAAACGCATACCAAACGTTATTTTTCATATATTAATTTGTTAATTTATTTTAAATGTTCGTTTTGTAAGTTTATTCAACACATTTATTTTTTCAGTCTATTATATGTTCAACCGATATCGACTTTAAAAGTTTTGATCGGAGAAAAAATATGTAATTTGCAATTAACAATTACATATTTTTTCTCAAAAATAACTATGTTTTTTCTTTACACCAATCGATTTCTCACATTATTTTGTGCATAAAAGTATTAAGATAAGATAATCAAAAAATGAATATTTTACAAGATATTTTACGGTTTAAATGTAAAATTAAGAAATTATTTCAAGCCTCATAACTCGAAAAGTACCTAATGAAAAAATACTTCATTATAGTGTTTTGGAAAGCTCTCTAGATGAGCTGCAAGAATATGCAATAAAAAGTAAGCAGTTAAAAAATTTAAAAAATTGAAGGTAATCTTCACGTGATCTTCAAGTAATCATTCAAGATCAAATTAATGATACCATCTTATGTCCCCCTTGAAACCATACAACTTTTGTCTATAAACATTTTTGTTGAAAATTGCTTCGTTGAAGAATTATCGAGGTGCGTTTTTTAAAAATAGGACACCCTGTATATATATATATATATATGCATCCTACGATTGGAACATCAAGGAATAGTACCTGTGCCATTGCCACAGTCGCCCCAATTATTTCCGGCGATGTATCGCCATTGGAAGACACATTGGGCGCACGTTAGACCTTCTGGCAACTTGTAGTAACCCTCGAAGACCCGATTACCTGGGCCAGGATAATAGCGGGTAGATCCGTTCTCGGCGGATAGCAGATGCTGATCTAGGCAGTCTTGGGTGACCTCCCGATCGCGGTAGGTCATAGCGCAGGTACGGAACTCAAAATAGCCGTGATGATTCGCCGTCAGCTCCACGCGGACTGGTATAACGGATCCAGTCCGATAACGACGAACGATTACGCCGTTCCCATATTTGCCACCCGTCTCGTGAACACGTGGCTGAAAAACACGATAATATAAGATAGACTAAATAAGATAATATAGACTAAAATCCTCTCTATTTCATGTGCATGTTTTCTTTATTTATTATATATTTATTGGAATGATTCTCTCGAGACACATTATCAAACAGGAAGGGAAATGACGTGAGTAGACGTCGATAAGAGAAAGAAAGAGCAAGAAGGCAGATTTCACTTCTGTTTCGGACTACTTTCGTCCGTACGGTATCAGGTATACGTATCAAGGCCAGGCGTCCCGCATAAAAAACCTCGCAATGAAAACGCGATTATGGAGACCGGATCACGAAAGTTCCAAGAGAAACACACTTAATTAACGTTTTTTTTTTAATCTCCATTCGTGCATGGATTCTATAACCCAGTTTAAATTTGTAATTAAGGTGAGAGCAAAGTTCTGCCTCCATAATCTTGTATGTCTGTAATTTTTATTATCTTACGTGTCACATACGTGTGGAAAAATCGCAGAATTATTTATTTGTATAGCAAAATCATTTTAAAAGCGATAACTAAGATTCACAGAAAGAATTTTATAAACTTATATGAAATGGAAGGAGCCATCTTATGATTTATAATTCACGATAGGAATGCAACGTTGTAAAACTGATTGAGATATTTTCTATATTTTTTTAATGCATTATTTCGTACTCGAGTGCTTGCATTTAATTTATTAAGGTTAATCAATAACTAATTGCGAAATCGCTTTATTATTATTATAACGAAGGAAGTAATTATTTTTTTCTCCCTCTCGTTACGAATCATTACGCACAACTTTATTCAGAGTAACATTATGCGCTTCATAATATTGAGATGCATTTCACTCACTTTCATAGGACTAGAAAAGAAATCAACAAGTATCTGACAGAAGCATTAAAAATATTATTATCATATTAGTAATACGAACTTTTACGAGCGGTGAAAATTTTGTTTGTTGATTGTAGCAATTAGACTCTAATAATTGAATCGACATTAGTATAATTAATTCATGTTAATTATACAGTATTATCTTTATTTATCTTAATAATTGCTTGCTATCTACAAGCAGTTTTTTTATTTTCTGTGTAAATAATTATTAATACACTTGAATGCGTTAATATTTAGAACAAATGAGAGAAAAAATTTGGAGTCAACGAGCAGATCTTTTACTTCTTATATCTGTACCAATTTCTGTACCAATCTGTACAATTTTCGGAAAACGTGTCGACATTAGCGGTATTATGTGATATTCCACGGTCAACGGAGCGAAGAATCGCGCATAATGGTGTGCGGTTAGTGTTGCAAGAAGCTGCGAAATAATTATATAGCGCAGCCGGATTATTATGTTTCTCGAGAACATTACCTTTGCAAGACTTTCCATGTCACTTGGTATATAATTCGTTAATTAACATTTTCAAATTTTCATTATCATTCCCAAGATCACTGACCGATGAAGGACGGACAATTTTGATTTTTAACTTTTAATACAATAATAAATAAATTATTTATTAAGCAATATAATGTATCTTTAACATTACACATATAAGTTATACGAACTATTTCAACTTTTTTAGGGATGTTTTGTATGTACAATCCCAGCAAAAAGTAGCTGAAAATCAATATTGACGAATCCACTTTTGGTATATTTTGAGTAAGAAATTGTGTGGAATATTACAATTTGATCTTAGCTACAGCGCAGAAATGTATTTTTTAATATTTATTGCGTTTTTACTGAAATATTCCGAATTTTGTTAATCGAAATGATTAACTTTTGGTAAAGAATTTCGCCTTGTGACAGATACAGCTTCGTTGAATTATATTTAATATCTTTTTAACCAGTTAGTACTTGTATAATATTATTTGACCAAATATTTTCTCTGTGTCTAAACTTTTGCAAATTTTAAACAAATTCTGAATATTATTTCCATGTGTTTTTACCATTTAAATCGACGTGGTTATACGTTCCCCATAAAAACACATGTTAATTCGGTGCAAATTAAAATCCTTATAACTTGTGAAAGCTTTAGTGAATCGATTTAAAAATTGTACTGAAGATTTTAAACATATGTAGGGACATTCTGTACAATTTTCATTAAATTCTCAATATTTTGAAAATAGGTACAAAACATCCTTAAATAAAAAGAAATAGAGATTAATTTATTTGAAATTTTAATTCTTGTTCTATGGACATATTGTTTTGCGTTTTGCGACTTCGGCTGATATTAGCATCTCTTTTTCTAGATTCCAAATGATCTTACCGTTGGAGAATCCCAGGGATCTCCGCAGATACCGCATTTCCCTTTGTTTCGCTGCCATTGCCTGGTGAAGCCGCCGCAGTAACATTCGTGATCGTTGTAATCGTGAGGCGTGTCGAAGCCATATCTCCACATGGAGGCCCTTGAGGGTGGTTCTATCAGTCTTCCGTGGGCAGAAACTTCGCCAATGACTAGCAAGTTCACGATTAATAACGTCAGATTAAGTACGAGGAAACGCATGTCTGGTCGCGAGACAAGGCCTCTGTAAAAAAATTCAAATTCACATAAGACTCTCTTCATATAAATGTCAATTTATGAGTGATACAATCACAGAAATCTATGTCAAAATACATTAAAATATGCATTCAAATCGTATCAATTCCCTGCGCTGTAAATCATTAAGTTATCTACGTTAGCTATGATTCACGTTAGAGAAGAAGATTAAATTCAAAATTTCAGCCAAAAGAAAAACGAAATGTCTCTTCCTTTAATGATTTTTTTATTATACACCTTTTACATGAATTTTCATTTTATTCTCACACTTAATCCTTGCTATATTTTTTGTCATTTTTATTGTTATATATTTTATCATGTATTTTCCGAATAAAAATATAATTGAAATTTATTATTTTACACAGGAATGGCAACTACGACAATGTACTCGTGAGTCAACAATCATAGAAGTATAGAGAGACTGCGCGCAAGTTTGATGACCTTTCTTACTCTATGGAACTACGGACACCTTGCTTGAAAAGTAATGGAGACACGCACACGTAAATTAATCAACGACAATGAACACAAAGTCGACACAAGAAATTGCATTAGAAATCGCTGTAAGAACACAGGCACATATTAATCAAGGCTAAACCAGAGAATCTCATTCAAAGCGTACTGTAAAGTCTCTATTGTATACTCGACTGTCGTAAGAGCGTTAATTTCGCTATTTCATCGATCGCGGTCTCACTAAGGCACATAAAATCGCCGTTAAAATACCAGCTGCATTCGAAAGCCACGGAACACAATCACAAGGAGCTCACTAAACTGGTTATTACACCGACACACAATGCGTGAGATATCCCAGATATCGTGGATTTGCTTTGAGAGATAAGAGCCTAGAAATATTATATAAAATTGAGAAAAATAAGAAGAAAAATGAGAAAAATAAGATTAAGAAAAATAATGACTCTCCTCTCGTGAAAATTTTTGCTTCAGATTTAAACAACTTTATTCATATGTTAATTCGACTCCACATATATAAGCTGTGACTTTCCTGTGAAAATATTGTGAATTGCATCCAGATAAGATTGGGAACGCTGTACTTTTCCATAAAGTTTCATATATGTTTTATGAAATTCTTTAGAATCATATTATAAAAATTTGTTTCTTGCTTCTATATAAAAATATTAGATAATTCATATATTGCATATTAATAATTCATGTATAAATTCTAACATATTATTTCACTAATTAACATGCAGAATATCTTAGAATAAAAATTTTTTTAGATATATTAATTTCTTTTCTGAATAAAAGTACAGTTGATTAATTAATAATATGAAAACAAAAGACTCTAAGACATGAAGCAATTGTAATAAAACATAGAAGATTAACTTTATATTTGCAATTTAATAATATATATGACAATTATTTTTTTTTAATTCGACACAAGTTTAATTATTTCTGACTAGTCGATAAACAAATTGATATGCTTTCTCAGATGATCCATAACTTGAATGAATGTTATATCAATTACAATTTTGTAAATGAAAAATGAATTTAATTTTCTCTTTATAGATTCTTAACTTGGTACTTACCTGTTGATGTGAAAGAATGAAGGCCCCGCTTTCCCGCATCGGCCGCGAAGGTGATTCAGAGCCGTTGTGGCGAACAGGGCCCGAAACCGGTCACTCGACGACTGAATCTGACACTTCGCCAGGGGACCGACCGACCGACCAAGCGAGAGAATGGTCTGGCCGATCGGTGTGGGAGTAGGTTATTAGAACGAGGTGTTCGTCCGCATTCACGACATGACGATGGTACGATGGTATAGTTGTAGACAATTTAATTTTTCGAAAAGTATACTCGTGAGACCGAAATTCGAATTTGAATCGTTATTATTGCAGAATTTTAATATGCATGTATTTTTATTGGACGCTTATATTAGCAAAAATTTATTCTTTCAAAGATATATATTATATATAAATTTTATATTAGCAATATTAGAGAATTATTTTATGGAAAGCAAAAAATTATAATTTAAGTAAATTATATCTAATATTTTAATTATGTATATATATTTTTTTTTACTTAAATTCTTTTTACTTTAATTATATATTTTTCTAAAATCTGTACATTTTCTTAATAGGTTCTTAAGAACATATAAATGCAAATGGAAAACTGCCTGTCCCGTTACTAGATATGTTCAGGTGTTTAGGTGAAAATCTGTAGCTTTCTTCCTTTGCGAAAAAATCTGCGAACTATTGGATAGTGAGGCGTTCTAGAAAAAAAGAATCGGCAATAATTTCATATATTTTATCTAAAGGATAAAAATATGAAAAAAATCTGATTTTTAAATTATTTGAAACTAGAAATTAGTAATTCTCTTAATGAAATTTTTAAAAAGTACGAGAAACAATGTTTTTATTAATACATGATTTTGGCTAACATTTTACGAGATCAAATATTTCATGCGCTCAAAACGTCGTAAAAACAAAGAGATTTTTTTCATTTCTCAATGAAAGAAGAGCGCCTTTCACGAACTTTTCCTTCTGCCCTTGCCATTATAACAAAAGCATTCATGCACGCAATATGCGTGTCATATCTCGAGCAGTTGCACTTTCGCAATGGAAGATTGAACAGAAAGTAGGAGCTTGCGGCCAATGCAAATTTGCAACAGGAATACATTCACGCCACGACTACTCTCACTCCATCCGCAGGATGATTCCCTCTTTCGGGTTTCCGGCCAAACTGCGGTTCACTCGACACGCTCCTTGAACGTTTACTTCCGGCTTTTGTTGTCGGCGCGGTCGACGTACAATTGAAGTATTTTGAAACTGACAATGAATATACAAGAATCTAATATTATCGATTAATTTTAAAAGAATAATTTTTAACAAGAAAAATAATACACAGAGGTAACGATTTCCAATCTATTATATATAAGTTATTCTTTGAATCAAATAAACAAAATTATATAAAAAAATATAAATTATATATATAATATAAAATATATATTATATAAAAAATACTACTTTTTAATAATAATACTCCAACAGTTTTATAATATTCTCTCTCTCTCTCTCTCTCTTATATATTTATATAATGCAATTGATAAACTCTATTATTCTTTTAAAAAATTATAAATTTTATCTTCTATGTCACTAATAAAGTGCTGGAACGGTATGGAATAAACATTACAATTCGTGATTGTGTCTCTTCTTCGCAAAACGCATCGTTGCACGTGAATCGTCCCGCACGGATATCCGTATCGCGAGCGGAACAAGAGTACTTTCCCACGACAACGGTGGAAATTGAGCGGAAAGCTACCGCTCGCGGTCAGCCGAAATGCAAACATTCTAGAAAGGAAGAGAATCACGCGGGAGTTTTTCTTCTGCCTGTCCACGCGTACGATTTCTATAAGTTTCTAATCGACAGAGAGATCCGCACGGTTCATGAATGATACGCTTCTCGATCGTACATCCAGAACGCGGAAATGAAAACGAACTTGTCGTCGGTCATTTAACTCAGAACTGATCAGACCTGATGCATCTTTAAAGATCTTAAGCACGGCATATTCCACGAGTCCTAATAATAATACTCCAACTTGATATCAATGATATGATATGATTTGATATCAATGATAATGTTGAGAAAAATTATCAAGAATTTTAATTTCAAACTTTGTTTCAAATGCACGAAGATATCTAATACTGAAGATTGTGGAAAGTTGTAATGATAATCTTCGACACTTTCGCTAAGGAAGAATAGACTATAATAAATATATAAATTTGTTTCAGAGGTTAATGATTAAAAAGACATCATGCAACTCCGGATAATTCACTAGAAAGTTTGTATATCTACGTCAAGTGTAAGTATCACATTTGGTCAAGTTCGCGATGCAAGGTCATTAATATTTATCGATGAGCACTATTGCATAGGGAATGCATATTGAACGCACATTGTAAACGCGTGGCTACATATTCTAACACGAGGAAAGGATTCCACTGTAGGTGAACACTGTAGGTCTACAACCTCGCTCCTATATTTGAGAGACGCTTTTCCTTCATCCGTGCATGGAATAACCGGTTCTCGCTTGGGTCCACCTATGAGGTCAAACCGCTTGCCGCTCTCTTGTGCTGTTCGGCACAACATATTTTCCAGATTCGTCGTCAATTATAAATATATGCAGCCATAGTTAATGAATCATACCAATAAAAGATAGAATTTCTGCTTTCATCGATTCGTTTCGTTAGTAAAAGACTATCTATTACTTTCCTGGTGCATCTTTCATCTTCTCCCTCGAAGCATTTGTCGTTCAAAATAGTACATTTCTTTGAAAAACGTCTCATCGCCATGGGCGTTAGCGAGGGGAAATGAGTAATTGATTAGGCTCTTAGCTCGTTTGACCTCGCCTGTCTGACATTTAAAGTAACATCGCTTCGCTGGAGCGAGACGGAAAGCATTTTTGAGAGACTCTAGTTTCGTCAAAATATGAGTCAGAAATATCAAACTGATTTGATTCCATTTTAATATAAATTGTAATTTTTTCAGTTTTTGCATTTTCTGTTATTGTGTATTATTTTTCTATTATTGTATATTATTTTATTATTTTTATATTATTATTATTTTATTTCTTAATTTTTTATTCTTTTTTTAAATTTGTAACAAATAAAGACGATTGGATAGATTTTTTTTTATTTTACTTTCAATCGCTAAAATTATTGTTATATTAGCTCTATGTAATAATGAAAAATATCGCACTCTCGGGGGTTTGCTACAGAGATAATTTATTATTTATAATGATGCGATAAATATCTAAAAAGATACAGTTTCTGTCAAATCGTATTTGTTAATATACATCGAAATTTTGAGCAATTGTGTGTATAATAGACTGATAAATAAGATCGACAAACTTTAATATTTTGATATATATATATATACTGCAATTATATATGTACAGTACGTTTCAGTACGTGCTAAATAAAAGACTCATCCCTAGAAATCAATTTTATAATTTATATACATAATTGAATTATGTATATAATTTATATATATATATATATATATATATATATATATATATTATGAGGAAGTAATATATATTATATATATCACTTTCCCAATTACAACTTTTATTTAAATTTTTAGTTTTGCGCACGCGAAGTATTATAAATAGATATATAAAGTAATATAATTAAAATCCTTCAATATTTCACATCTTCAACTATAATGAAGTTGTAACTGTATGATTATATACATTACATAAATATTGATTCTAATAAGAATAAATTGAGTAACATACTATTAAATAATATGCGATTGATACATTGTATCTATGCATGCAACATGCAGCGAATTATGGTTGTATGCCATTTATTAATAAATATGTACAAGATGTTTATTTAAGGACGAAGCACATTGTAACTGTGTAAATGAACACGATAATATTTAAATGTTTAGAATGCTACACATCATTTCTCGAGTGGTGCGTCATGAATTCTTATGTGTCGTGTCACACGGAAAAAAAGAAATTATTATTTTGTTTACTCTCTTGTTTCTAGAAAATAATTTTTAATTTAGAAGAAAGGCGCCTAAAACATATAGCCAATGATTTTAGAAAAATATGAATTAAAATGTCAAGATATCGCACTTCAAGACTCGAAAGATTTTATTTGTTCAATTTATTTACGAATTACGTTACTGTATGCAACGCCCTTTAATAAACCAATATTTCTTTCATATATATCTACAATTATATTAAATAATGTAATCTCGTCAGATTATTTAGTTAATCTCGTAAGATTATTTATTTTTTTTTAATGAAAATATTTAGGAATATTTTGAGAAAAGATGAATAAACATTCAACAGATTTTCAATCTGATATGTAAGATTCAAAGAGGAAACAAATCATGAGCAATTTATTTCCAATAAAATAAATAACGTATTGTTGATTGATCGAATTTTTGGCACATGTATTCAATGTATTTCAGATAATTTTTTTCTTAACTTATATCTTAGAACTATTTTATTTATATCATGTGTTAACAATCATGTGTAAAATAATAAACTATTCATCAATAGATTCTCTGTATCAACAAAGTCATATGTATCGAAGAATAAAATTATTAAATATTATGTAATGCAATACGCATTATACATGTATGTATTATTATACATGTTTATTATACATGTATGTATTATTGCAATATTAAAAATTGCAATATGCGTATAAATAAATTATATCAAAAAATTATGGATGCATATGACTCTGGTTTGACAGTGTTATACATATTCTCTTTCTTTCTATCAAAATAAAAATAATATCTGTCTATCAATTTTTCAGATAAAAACTATGAAACGAGATACAATGACTTATATAACGATTAATATAGATGTAATGCAATAATTAAGTTTCTTCCCAATTTTTTAACAGACACATCTTGATTAATCGCAATATAGATCAATCATAATAGACCTAATAATAATAATGCGAGTTACTGAGTATCAAAAACATTGTTTTTTTTTTGCATAATAATATTGACTTGGAGGAGTTTCCCGTGGGATACCATTAATCGACTAGATGTAAGAATACGAGTAAATCGACAGTTTTTATTTTATTTTTTTTTAGAACAAAATAACGCATTTTTATTTTATTTTTTTTAGAACGAAATAGCGTATTTCATTACATGTATAACAACAAACAATTTACCATCATGAAACTCAGTTACTCTATATGTGAAAATTCAAGTTTGCGCTATACATTATTTATTCCGTTTACCAATTGATTAAGTAATAACCACTAATTCAGATAAATTCGCATAGTAAATCTATACAGATAATATAAATAATGCTAAATAATTAACCACATGTATTAGATATTATTTAATATAAGATGATTTATGTGTGAAAACAGTTAAAAAAATAATTTAAGAAATCCATTAGCTCACAACGTTGAACAAGTTTCTTGAAAGTACATTTTAAATAAATTGTTATAGCTTACATATAGTGCGTGTAAATGTTTTATATCTAATTGAAGAATAGTACATGTAAATGCAGATCTATGTCTTAAGGCAATAGTGTTTTCCATTTCTGAGGAGTTCCCACGACACATTATCTTTATATATTTATTATCTCGCGTTCTCCTTCATCTTCCTTCATGTCCGTCACATTCATTTTTTTTTGCAAATTAGAAGATATTGAAAATTCTCTGTGTGTTTCAAGAAAAACATTGAGCGTGCTAAACACTAAACATTGTATATATTTGAAAATCTGCGGGAATAGTTTGGAAATTTTTTGAATATATAATGCTTTTCAGAGTTACATACATATTGAATAAATTGTATTGTAGTTACAAAAGTCTTATGCATGATGAGAGATAATAATTATTTATGAGTCTGTTAGAATTATAGCAAGAAAAAAAATTTATATAGCAAGAGCAACATATTATTAATATTTCTCTGGAAATTATTCATAAATTTTTTAATTGCTCTACATAAAGATAAAATAAAGAAAAATATTGTTATTATATTTTTAATACATGGGAAGACAAATTATAAGATACATTTTACAAATGGATAATATATTTTTATACTATTATATTACTTGCAAAAAAATTCTACATGATATTAATATTTATTTCTAGTTGTTTTGATCACAATCAATAGTAAGTATCATGTATAATCTGTCCATGTTGCACTACATGTAAACCCAGTATATATGCAACACAGACATTAAGATTATTAATGATATTAAATAAGACATAAAAATATTCAAAATATCATTATTTATATTATTTAGCATTTCTGAAATTGCTATCTGAAATTTAAAATTCGCATTAAAAAAGCATTAATATCTAACTCTAAAGCTAGATATGAAGTGCACAAAGATACCATGCTAAGCTTGTATTTTTAATATTTTAAAATTTGACGACTGATATACGAGGAAACTTAAGTTCTCAATAACCATTGTCCTCAAAATGGTGTAAAAGATATGTACAAAATAAATTATATTTTAATAATAATAATAATAAAAATACACAAACATCACTTTTTAGCCATTCAATTAATGCACTACTGAGAAATTTTAATTTCTGTATGCAGATTAAATATATATATATTGTATTGTTTATTAATATGCTTTTAAAATGTTAATTAACAAATAATAGGGGCTGTGATGTAATGAGTTTGATAAAAAATAATCTAACATGTGTTTCGATATTGTTCTCAATATATACCACCACATAGATTGGCCCCCATTACTACATTTAAGGCATAAGGCAAATAAGTTTTGTATTAATAATAGCTATTGATCCCTCGCTCCATTTCTGAAGAGAATTCAATATTAAAAGTTTCTAACGTCTTTTAAACAATGCTTATAAAAAAAGAATACAACAAACATTGATTGAATATTGTTAGAAGTTATTAGTTACAACATTATTAAAATTCTTTAAAAAATGTTGAAATATTTCTTAATAATATGCAATACATTATTTTTTTTAATTATATACCACAGGATTTTTTGCAATTTGCTCTATTTTGAATACTTTTACAATAGAAAGTGTGGATACTCATAATTTTTCAATACAATGCACTTTTGATTTTCATCTCATGTAAAGTATGTGTAAATTTCTTCAAATAATATTCTAAAAAATATATCAGATTCTTCTTCCAAACATATAATAAATTTGATTTTTATTTCAGTTGTGGTTTAGTTTGTCCTACAATCTTATTGCGCAATAAATTAAAATGTCCGTGCACCTGTGTAAGCTGAGCTCTAAGTGAATCAGAAAGCTGTTTCTGTAACTGCTGAACTTCCAAAATTTCTTGACGGAGATTTTGATAATCTTTCGTAACCTGATGAACAGAGTGTAATAGGCGAAGCACAGATATCTGTTGGAAGCACAAAATGGAAAGCGGTTTGATGATTGAAGATCCCAAAAACACGGCAAACAATAAAGTGCACACGAAAAATTTTCAAATGTGACGTCGCACAGAATATATTTAACGCCAAGTGAAACGGAGCGTCCTGGCTTTAAGCAGGAATTGTCCAATGAACACAATGTGACATCACTTATTCAATATTCTGTCACAGAGAACTCTCTCTGTACAGATGCAACACAATATATTTGTTCTTTTTAGTTGTATTTATGTACTCTTATATATTCTATTTTTCATTGGGCATTTTTCAGCAAGCGACATAGAGAATACAGTGTATCGCTTCATTCTTGTTGGTTGCTGAATGTAAACAAGGATGAAATGATTCACTGTGTTTCACTGTCTTTGCTGAGAAATGCCCATAATGTTACATTTTTTCTTGTTTCAAATTCAAGACTAGTTGACAAGCATTGTACTATTATTATAAAATAATCTACATTTTTTTAGATAAATTTATTTTCCAAATTGTTTGCAATTTATACATTATTCATCTTAAGATTTTGACCTCTAATTTATTAAAGAAATTCAGAATTAATAATTAATTTAGAAAAGCAAAATAGCTTGCATATTTGTATAAAATGCAAAGCTAAAAAGAACAAACTTGATAAAAGTATGACTGATTCGTAATCATACTATTTGTGTCGAAGGCAAAAAATTCCTACCTCGTCTTCCGGCTCCTCGAAAGCTTTCTCGAAAGCGTCTATTTGCCACGCGATCATGTCCAATTTTCCATCGGCTTTTTGTACCTGAAAGCACGAGAAAATTCGCTGCTCAAAGTCATTCTTGACAGTCGTGAATAACGTTCCTCCACTGATGGTGCGACGAACGATTTTACAAAAACCACGTAAAAATATACTTCGAATTATACGTACGCTTTGCTCGAGGTGCCCGATCGCGGATTCCATGTCTCTTGCTGTTTCTTCTTTCCCTCCCTCTTGGAAATAATCGGCGCGTAATCGTCTACCAAACGTCGAAGAAAAGCTGTCGGCTGTTATTCTATCGCATCGCGGGATCGATTTGTGCTCTCTGCTTGCGTTTGAAAAGCTCACTCACCGGTTACCGTCAATTAATTGTACGCCATGCCACGTGGCGGCAGCACTGTTCTCACGTAACTGAAAACTACTTTACCAACAAAGCTAGTGATCATCTGACTCACGAGATGGCGCTGAACGCCATACAAGGAATTTAACCTCTTTGGAACGAATCTGTCATCATCTGTCATTACGTTACTTCGTCTTTAGAGTTGTTATTGAACAATTTGTAAATAATTCGAAAAAAAAGCGAATACGTTAGAATAAAGAAATTATTGTGTGGGTCAATTTCTGAGAGGAATGTATAAATCGAATCAGGAACCGGACATACCCGCTGCACTGGGTTTATTGTCTCACTTAGATAACGAGGAGTTGAAGGAATTATTAAACAATGATGGAAAATTCGAAGATATCGTGAAAGATATAAAGCAGGTACGATTATAATATTAAGTCTAATTAAGTACCAAGTTTAATTACAAAAAGAGTAACATATTACTTGGCGATTTGGGTAAACTATAGGTTACTAAATTGCTTATATGTATCATCTTCTTTATCATCTGTATTTAAAATTCTTTATATATTTATTATTCTTAAATTTAAATATTTAAACGGATATTTATTTATCTGTAAACAATATTTATTGTTTTATATAAATCTGTAATATATAATGAGAAGGATTTGCATTACATACATGAAATTGTATAATATTATATAAATAACTTATATGAAAATAAACTATTTTAATATTAAATTAAAACTAGTTTAAGAATCTTGAGACTGAAAAGGAAATGTTAATGGCAAGCAATAGATCTTTGGCTGAATTTAACTTGACCAAGCAACCTGAATTGGAAGAAGGCAAACAGATATTGAAAGAACTGAGCGAGCAGGCCAATCAGTTGTGTACTAGTGTCAGAAACAAATTAGATGAAATGCGTAAGTTATCGTTTGTAGGATGACACAATATATCTATTTATAAAACTACATATACTATATTTACAGGTGATAAGTCTGGTACAATGACTGTCGATACTGCACTTGATTTATTGCAAGCAGCTGCTGCTGAAATTGAGGAAGAATCAGAAGTACATATAAAAATATTTGTATGCCTATTTATTTGATAAAAATTATCTAAATTAAATTATATCTTTTCAATATATAGACAGTAGCAGAGAAATTTTTAGCTGGTGATATCGAAGTGGACGAGTTTTTGGATCAATTTTTGTCGCGTAGGAAATTTATGCACTTACGTAAAGTGAAAGTGGACAAACTAAGAGAGCTTATACGAAAAGGTCATTCTTCCAACAATACTCCTGGCTATCCGATTGCTTCAAATTTCCCTGGAATAACGCCTTCTATACCATATCCGAGTGGACCTGTAGCTATGCCAATGCCTTTGCCGGGATTACCAGTTTATAGGCCATATTAAATAATTTGAAAAGTTACATGTACGTAGCATCTATGTGTTATTTATTTGTTTTTAAAATATATCTATATGTAGTCACAGCACATAAGATATAACTTTAACTATTTTTTATATTGATTTCTCTTGTAAATTAATTTTTCATCATTTTTATATCAAGTAATTTACATTGATATTGAGTAATGTGCATTATAATTTACAATTATACATTACAATTATACATTATTACATTTACCCAGAATCTTACATGGTAATATTTCTGAAATATTTGCTACACAAGAGAGATGTTTGATTCCTTTTTGTCTTGATATACTATTATTTAATATATTAACTATGTGTGTTGTAACAACTTTATAACATCTTTTTAAAGAATGTATAAAATAATATAGAGCATTGACATTTTATCTTTTACCATAATCTGTTTAGTGTCTTCTATATTTTACTAGTAAATATAGCAATAAGAAACAAAAATAAATTTGTACATTTAGCATTAAAACAAATATCAATTTATATGATTCTAAATAAATACGTTAATTAGTTTCTCTTATTATTTTTTTCTATATCTTTTTTATTTTCAGAAACTGGCACATCTACCTTTTCTTGCGAATACTTAAAGGCTAACATTAAAGTCACCAACAATAGGATATATTGTACGATTTGAGAAGAATTTTCGCCGCGACGTAATTCTTCCGTCGCTTTATGTTGCTCATATATGTTTCTTCTTATACGATATCTATGCAGTTGTTCCCCATAATGGGCATGCATCCATGCATCAAAATTATAATTTCTTGAACTTCCTGAATAGACCTTGTCTTTATTGTGAACTGTAGACTCTTGAGCAGTAGTAGAACTTGATGGTTGATGAATCATTATATCTCGATCGTAATTCTTACGCAGTTCATGATTGCCAAGTACTTCATAGGCCTCTGAGATATCATGAAATTTCTGTTTTGCATATCCGCTTTTATTTTTATCAGGATGATATTCAAGAGATAATTTATAATATGCTGATTTCACTTCATTCTGGGTAGCATGTGGCGTAATCTTTAATGTATCATAATGGTTTTTTGATGATTTAATATTTGATCTACTGGAATAAAAACGTCCTAATGATAACTTTGAAGAATTCAGCGTATTAAATTTATGCATATTGAAAATTAAATTAAAAATGTAAAATTCATCCTAGAAGTGCATTCTTTCTCCATGAACTATCTTTCTTGTTCCTTTATCATATGTATGATTGTAAAATTTTCTGAAATTATATATCTATAAGAAATTTGATTTTAAAAAAGTAACTGTTATCTGACGTGCTTCATATGTGACATTTAAAATAACATTTTTTTTTATTCAACTCGCACATCATTGTTGCACGGTCAATTAATAATTTATCATTAACAACTTACTATTCAACATAATTTTTTTCATACACTAAAATAATACTTATACTTTTCTATGAGTCAAGTACAGACTAAGGTTATGAACGACATCTTATCCATAGTTCGTGAATAGATAAAATGATAGAACGCGAAGTAAATTTTCTCGGACAAACGAAGGCCGAAGGGACGGAGATTTGATTGGCTACCGCCGTATTGACACTTGCACGCATCGAGAACGAGGCGCGGGATTGGTCGACGCTTCGAAGTTTCCGCGCGAGCGTCTGCTACGCAGCCGCGGCGGTGCGCATGCGTGAGTGATTAGTTCCATTTTGGAACGTAGAGAATCCATATCGTCCCTTTCGCGATCGCGCACGGCTGGCGGCGAGGTGGTGTGTTGGCGGTGTACGAAGTCGACTCCGTGTCGTACGTTTGTTTCGACTCCCTTCTTATCTCGGGACGAAATCCTCCTGACGGTTACACGATTGAAATACACGATTTGACGACGACGTTACGATGCTCGCACGTGACGCGTAAACCGGGTTACGAACGGACGAAACGAATGTCCTTGCCCCGAAGCGAGGCCGCACGGAGTACCGAGAACTCGACGACAGGCACTGGTCGCCACGAACGACAACCCGTACCTCGTCGACCGATCTGACTGATTTTTGAGATCCAGTCACCGAAAACTTCCATCATTCCGTCAATAACCGTGTGCCGACCCGCAGGGTGGCGATCGTTCGATAAGGTACGTATCCGCGAATCCTCGTGGACAGAGCACAATGCGGCTTTTTACGTATGCTGACTGGGTGATATGGATCTATATATCTATAACGTATATATCTCGTCCCCTATCAGCGGCTCAATCACGTGAAAATCGCATTTATTATAGACGATGATTCATGAACCCCTTACTTTGCATTCTTTGTTATCGAGGAAAAGAGAAGGGAAGGAAAAAAAAAATGATTTTTCACTTGTACAATGATACCCAAATCGAGTTCTGTTGAGATCGCGTCGGTTTCTGTTTACTTCAGCTTTCAGTTCAAAGTTCACTGATTAATACACAATTTTCCTGGTATAGTTTCTACAATCTCTTCAATATGTATCATTTTAGTGCAAAATAATGTTTCCCCCATTTCACTTTTGATTATGCGTCACACATGACAATTCATATTGTTGGCATATGTTGTGCAATATATAAAGAGAGTACCTTCTAAAGTGCAAATGTATCAATTACTTATATTAAGACAAACTAACTATATTAAGCATAAAATAATTCCATGTACCTTTAGTACGTATAAAAAAAATATTCCTGGGAATTCCCTTCAACGCATGTTTTTTCCTCATTGATAAACTTGAAACATGCTTATATATAAATAATTTTAAAAATAAATTAATTTTATTGATTTACTTATTAACACTCATTACAACATTGCCAGTTGAGATTTCTTGCCAACTCAGTATTTATATTTTATGACAAGTTTTATATATATTTTTCCAGTCAATTATGCAAATGAAGTAAATTATAAAAGCAATATTTTACAAGTACACATATACAAGCATAAATTGTGATAAGATATGTTTTTGAAATCTTCTTCGTGTGTCGTGAAGATTGCTTGTTTCAACATCAATGTCTGTAGAATGGCCAGTAGTTATGTTTACCCATATCTTGTCTTGTATTAGCCTATTCAGACTGGTATTTCTTCTTCAAACCAGTAAAGCTATTGTTACGTTATATAAGAACTGTGCTTTGTAGTTTGTTCAAGCTTATAAGCTTTTAGAGAGATAAGGAATTTTATTAATTTTAATTATTTTCCAAACTTATATATAAAAGAATATGTAATACTTTGTTATATATTTTAATATCATTGAGCTATATCCATTCTTATTTTATGAGTATACATGTGGAAAAGAAACTTTTAACACATAAAAAGAAACATATTGTAATTTATTTCCAACATATTTTGAACTCATTTAAACTGTAAAAAAGGAATTTTTCTATGCATGCATTCTAAAATTATGCTACTTTTTTAAGATATTTATTTTATAAACAAGTATTATATTTTTTGTATTACATTTAGTCGAGTGTTTTTTACTATTATGAAAATGTTACATCATTTGATACTTATATCAAACATTGACGTAGCACTGTGGATAGATAAATAATTAATCATAATTTAAATGTAATAGATAAATGTGGTATTTCCCAACCCTTCCAATGAAGTTTGACTCTTGATCTTAAGTGGATTTATATTATCCTTCTGCTCAAAATTGGTTTTCATATATTTCTTAGCTGTCAGATAATTTTGTATACGTAAAGCCTGCCTGATACTACTTATCTTCTTGATATAAGTAATGGTTGAACCAATTGCCAGTTCAGTATTGAGTCTCAATCCATTCGAGCTTCATTAATAAACAGAGCTTTTACTTATATTTTATTAAGTTAATTAATTAAGTTTTAAATAATTTCAAAAAATCCTTTTCTTTTATATTTCATTTTTATTTTGCACATATGGAACAAGTTGAAAAGGCTAAATTTTAAAATTATAAAAACTTTCAAACAGTTGTAAGCATAATTTTATGTACTGTGTCTATAAAAAAACGAGAATTACTTTCCTTCAGGTAAGATCAAATTTATGTTTCATTAAATTAAATTTTGATGTAATCATTCAAAATTAAAATATAACTGTAAAATATAAATAACAAAGCAAACTGTAATGTATTTATTACATACATACACACATATATGCAAGGGAGCAAGCAAATTAAGTGGGCAAATTAAAATAATATAAAATGTCTTCATTTTTTATCATATTTATTATGATGAGTTTGCAGAAGAAATATCATATGTAATTTTCAATGCTTTGATAAAAAAAAAAGATAACTAGATAAGATAAACGATTTTATGTCCAGTAGACTATACTAAATTATTTTAATGTATCATATGTTAATTTATGAATGCATTAATATTTAGATAATTCCCTCATATCCTATTAGTAATAAATTTTAAATTTCTATCTATAAATTTCCATTATCATGGATTTTAAATTTTTATTATTGTGGAGTTTAAATTTCTATATATATTTTATATATTTTAGACATTTTTTATGTACAAATTAGTATTTTATAGTAAGTAAACTTTATAGCATCTTTATAACATTTAGCAAAAATTTATAAAAATTTAATTTTTTTATAGGGTTCTATCTACAATAGACTGGTTGGCCAGTCTGCTGGTGGGTGCTTGAGTAACTGCGACAACTGGAAGTTGGCCCTGAATGCAGAGCCCCCGTGGCTTTGCTAGCACCCCCACAGTGATCTTGTTTTAATCCGCCTCCTCACGACTCACCCGACTAGCATTGACAGCTGCCTCGTATGTTTTTTGTTATTATTATTAGATTTATTAAAACTTACAAAATGTACAATATTAGCATCTATATAATATAAAAACGTATATATTTGCTTAATTTTTCAGTTTGCTGCCTAGCACCTACAGAGTACTGATTCATAAAACTCATTCAACATGAAGGTAACAAATCTAGACGAACGCATCCATGTATTGGATAGCGAGTCCAATGTTGCGACTGTTATCAAAAATATTGCATTGAGTGGTTTACAAGAAGAAGCTTTCTATGTATTGGATATAGGAGATATTGTACAAAAACATCAAATCTGGAAAGAAAAATTGCCACGAGTTGAACCCTATTATGGTAAGCCATTTATATATTTAGAATTTATAGTATAATGTATAAGTATAATGTATAAGTTTATAATATAATTTATAGTGTATCACAAATTATTCTTTATTTATATAAATTTTTTAATTCCAGCTGTAAAATGTAACGATAATTTGATGGTAATCGAGGTATTAGCGGCCCTCGGTGTTGGTTTCGATTGCGCATCTAAGGTAAATATTAAGCTTCAAATGTACTTTACTTATTTTAGAAAGTAATAAATACATTTTTCTAAAGTGCATATTTTGTGTGTATCTATATATACACACATATTTATTTATTTATTTTTATTTATACAAATCTTTATTTTATATAGAATGAAATAAATAAAGTATTAAGTGTTGGCGTGGATTCATCAAGAATTATCTTTGCTAATCCGGCTAAACCTGCTTCACATATTCGTCATGCTGCTGCAATGAGAGTGGATACTATGACAGTAGATAACGAAAATGAGTTGCATAAAATTAAAAAACTTTTCCCGACGGCTAAGGTAACTGTGTATAATAACTACATAAATATTTACGTATTTTCTCATTTCTAAATATAATCATGGTAATAATTTTATTTTTTTAAGTATTATATTGTTTATTTTATATATATATATATATATATATATATATATATATATATTTTTTTTTTTTTGCAGATTGTTATACGAATTCGTTGCGATGCGGAAACGGCCCAGTGTCCGCTTGGCATGAAATTTGGCTGTGATCCGATACACGAGGCTCCTAGTCTTTTACGCCTTGCATACATGTTGGGTCTTAACGTAGTCGGCTTTAGCTTTCACGTTGGTTCCGGATGTCAAGATCCACCCATATATCATTGTGCTATTCATCATTGCAAGATATTATTCGATATGGCTACCAATCTTGGTTTTAAACCATATCTTTTAGATCTTGGTGGTGGTTATCCAGGCGACAAAGGCACAAGCATTGATAAAATGGCTGAGATTATCAACAAAGCTCTCGACGAATATTTCAATAGTAAGTTTCGTTCTCTTTGTTACTTAGTTACTGTGGGTATATACTATTTGACATTGTGCAACTTAATTAAAATTTTTTTGTATTTTAGCCGATGCTGTTCACGTAATTGCTGAACCGGGCCGTTTTTATGTCGCATCTGCGTTTACTTTGGCAACGAATATTCATAGCAAACGTTCTGTACGTGGAGATGAAAATTCTTCCACCACTGTTACACATAATATGTATTACATCAACGACGGTGTTTATGGATCCTTCAATTGTCTGCTGTACGATCATCAACATGTAACTCCCATCCCTCTGAAGGTAATATTATTTAGATAAAAAAAAAATCTGAATATAATATTTTTTCCCGTTTCTTTTATTAATATCCAATCTTGATCTTTATCATTAGAATGGTTGCGGGAAAATGATTCCTTCAAGC